CGGTTAAACACGCCAGCAATGCCTCTAGCTTAACAAATGACCAAATAAATAAACGGGAAATAAGAATAGCATTTCATTCTGGCTAACGTCAAGCAGATCCTTTGTGCGATGCCGTAGGCGTAAAATTAGCATTTTATTCTACAGGTCTCCGTATCTCACTTTTATCGATAATTTTTCATTTTTATTGGAAAGTTAGGGGGGGGGGGGAATTGGAAGTGCTCAATGAAACCTTCGTCGAACTCGGTAATGATCGCGGGGCCCCAGAGCGCATTGCAACTTTCTCAATTAAGAGACCACGCTGCGATTCACTCAGTAAGTGAAGCCACTCACCGTTGGTCTTTGGACCATAAATGGGAGAGAAAAACGGGAGGAGGGGGGGGGGGGGGAGGGTACGAAAATTTTTGAATGTGAGGGTTGTAATTGAAAGTGCAAAAATTCAATGTGTAATTCAGCAGAAGTTACAGTGAATGACAGTTATAACATAAATCGACTATTCATTGAGCATACCGAGCAATTTTGAACCGAGCAATTTTAAATATCAAAGAACAAAAAATCACATAAAACTAGAGTTCAGTTCCTAGAACAGATGAGAAGACTTTTTCAAAGCTTTTGCCAAGCAACAGCTTATATGGTTCATTCATCGCCGAGATAGTCAACTTTGAACTCCCGCCCAATACCGTACGCTTGCCGAGGAAACTAATCAATATGCGACCTTCGGTTACGGTATGGGCCCGAGTTTAAAGTCAATTCTTTCGGCCACGAACAAGTCATACGAGCGACTACTTGTGCAGCGAGTTAGGTAAAATCTCCTCAATATTTAAACAAAAGAAGTTCAGGTCTCAACTTTCCCATTAGTTGGAATAAATTTAACTCGAACAATTAATTGTGCCTGACAATACAGTTGTGACATCGACCTTCCTTAATAAGACGCTCATCATGACCGTCTTGGAATGTAGATTTTGGGTGTGTTCTCTAATCCCAATGCGCTTCCTGGAGGAAATGGCATTTGTTTGGGACCACACAATGCAGCAAACCGACCATCTAGCTCTTAGATCTTCTCCTGCTCTTTCTTCTGCTTAGAGAAAACCCAGTGTTTTGAATAATTGAGATCACATTTATTTCTCTCTTTAAACATCCATTGAAAAATCATTCATGCTACCTGAACGCAAACAAACATCTCTAACTATAGTATGGTATTGTTTAAAAATGTGTAGAAAAACTTTTGTGTTTAGCAGTCCATGGCGGTTCTAACAGTACTGTCTCAAAGAAGAGGTTCTATAATACCAGTTATGGAAGAGAATTAAAGAGTTCATGATTCGCATTGAAAACTTTCAAATCGCGTGAAGTTTCGTGCTTTACTAAAAATTAGGCTAATTTGTGGCCACACCCTCTTTTTTTTTGTCTTGGAAGTTTCTGGAAACGCCCAAAGAAGCTCAGATATGTAGCAAAGGTGCAAAAGTTCAAACATCGTTTCCGTTAAGATCGAAATAAGCAATATTTACTTTTCAAGCTTTTTCTTGGGCTCTTCATGTGTGTCTTCGCTTACTATATCCTTGTTAGATTAAGCAATTTTTGTGACAAACTCTAGCCTTTAGAAGGGCAGAATCAAGAGATTTGTAAAGCTGGCAAAGTTGATCCGTCCAAACTCTGAGCTAGAAACATCGAAAATTCGAATATTTTTCAGACATTTTGGTCAAAATTGTCAATCGCGATACCAATGAGCGGTTGGGCCAGTATCCCTCATTACTATTTCCTTACCTAATACCGAAAGAACAATCTTGGCTTGATGAATCAAAAGCCATTCTGCTTGAATTATCCATGGATGTGTGTTGATTGATGCTTAAAGTAAAGATGAAGTGACTGACTCAATCTTTTAATTTCGTTACTTCATCTTATTCCTAGTGTACTTGTTTAAATTTTACACTGCTCGACAAAAAAAAGGGTGAAAGAAATTATTCCTCGAAATCATCAAAAATAACAAACTAGTATGCCCATATTTTTGTAGCTCTGATTGTGAATGTTCAAAAGCTTGACTCTCCTAGCATTTTCCCCTTAACAGCAACAAATGTTGCTTTCAAATTGAATACTCCTTAAAATTTCACTGGAGTAGTACCCTAATCAATTTTATTTTTTTTCAAATTTTTCGGCAAAAAGTTTTCCGACGAAATCTCGCTGACTGCCAAGGAACTGAAAAAGCACTGCTTGCTACATTGTCGTCATCATTGCAACTACATATTGACAAGTAAATGCCGGAAAATTCTTGACAAAACAAGTTCAACTTGTAGGGGACATGTCATTTTTTTCAAGCATAATGACCATTTCTTCCTGCCTGGTGAGCGGAAACTCTCTTTTTATCTCTCCCTTCCTCATTATTTTCTTTCTTCTCATTTGTTCCCTTCCCGTTTCGTCTCCCTCGCAAACATCAAAGATTACGATGGTAATGTACTAATCTTACCAAATCATGCGTCAACACATTCCTCATTATTTTTCCGGATCTTAATTCAATCCGTTCATCTCCCATTGGGTACAAAAGTCATTTCCCACAGCATTGGGTTGCACTTGCACTTTGTGGGAGCGAGTGCTAGCTTTAGGGAAATTGGTCCCTTTGGTTTTCTTTTATCATGAAAACATGCGAGATTCTGGGAAAATCTCGCTTCTTCAAGTAAGTGTAACTGAAAACTTTTAATTACATGACATCATTGAGTTTACTGTATAAAATGCACCAGCTCAAAGGCAGACAAGCAAATCTGGGTCTTGGTGAGTACCTGGTGATCTAGTAGATTATGGGAAAGCTTTAGCCAAGAAAATTTCCCAGCCAGCTCATATGATTCATTCCCGGCCCAGAATTTCAATTTCAAATCCCCACCCAAACTGTATTTTCTACCGTACTCGACCTCGCTGATTGGTCCGCCCTGAAAGCGTACGGTACGTGCAAGAGTTCAGAGTTGATCTTGGCTGCATATGAATCATATGAGGTGAAGCTTGGACTACTTTCTAGATAATCCCTCCTAATGGGTATCCATATAAGAAGTTCGGGTATCCAAAGTTACTTGGCCCCCTGATTTTGATAAATTGTAAAATAGTGCACCTTCACTAACTTGGTAGAAGAAAGAAATCCTTGTTTAGTTTGAGGAAGATCTCCATTGTGCGGAAAGTTCAAATTATTTCATTATTCTCTGTATAGGAAAGCGCTTCGAAACAAACGTTTATAAGCGGTGAAGAAAAGAGGAACCCAATAAAGTATGCATGAGTTGCTTTTCGTCTGTATTTTATCATGTGCACATGATTTCAAAGGTCAAAGGATTAACTTTTTTTTCAGTAGCCGCTTTCACAGCGAATTTTTTATCAACTCTTCAAAAATAATCCTTCTTTTTGAAGGTGTTTGAGAAATATCCGCTATTTCCGAAAGGTTTACCATGACAAAGTTATTCTGGTCTCTTACTTCGTACCATTTGATTCAACTGCCTTGGCGGCTGGAAGGCGGGGCTTCGTGACCTAGTTGAGGTTAGATAGTGATTAGAGAGCACGCCACGAGAGGGACGCGGGCGCGAGCGGCCTTAATTAGGTCACAAAGCCCCGCCTTCTAGCCGCCAAGCCAGTGGAATCAAAGGTCAATTTCTGTACTATCAATCAAACAATCATTGCCATAGGTGCCTTTTTACCGAATTTCTTGAAGCAGAGCTAATTATTCTGCCAGCTGTACCCTTATCTTCTATCATCTTTATATTTTTCTTCTAATGAAGTGTCAGAAGTTGATGGCCTTTTGAGATGGAGTAGATAACATCTGGAGCAGCTAAAAATGCCGGCTCCAAAACAACCTTTCTTAGCTGCAGAACTAATCTATTACGGACGTTATTGAATTTAATTTGCTGGAAATTTATAAAGCTGAGAATAACCAAAAATTAGAGCAAACATTTTTTGGTTCAAACATAAATGGAGCACTCTATCAAAGCTTAATGTAATTCTACGCTTTCCTCGCCGTCATGCTGTGGGCGATTGAATAAGCATTTGAAAGGTTTCTGTGATCACAGAGTACTTCAAACGAGGTAAAATTTGGTCAATATGCCCATCAGTTCTGCAGCTATGAAAAGTTGTTTTGGAATCAGCATTTCAAACTGCTTCGGATGATACCTGTACCATGTCAAAAGGCCACTGCGACTTCTGAAACTTCCTTTGTAAAATCAAAATTGAAGTTTCTCTCACTTAGAGACGGCAAACATAAGTCGGGATAAAGGTAGAAAATCTAAAATACCGTTAAGATGAGAAATGTTCTTTTTTATTCAAATATAAGAGAAGAAACGAATACTCGAACGGCCAAATTAGATATTAGTTATATTAGTAGGAAGACTATAAAGTAAAAAGTAGTAAAGAGGAAGGGGAAAAGATAGTAGAGTACTGGCAATGGAAATAATAGTACACAAAAGTGTACAACGTGGTATTATATTATTGTGTATAAAATCAATTTTGTAAAAGAAGTATCCCAGCTCCGTTTCGTTCCTGCCCTTAGACGGAGTATAGGAACTCTGGGCTCTTCCCGGAACTCCAAGTAAAGAAGGAGAGCCCGTTATGTTACTTTTTATTTAAAAAAAGTTTTTGGTCAAAATGGCGTGGTAAACTGGAAGCAATTAATGGAAAAGAGAAAATACATGAGATACCGGTGATAAAAGGATAACTGCAATTTATTTTGAGAAGTTCAAGAAAAAAGGAATAATACACTATAGAGTATGAAAAAGACAAAGAAAGAAGATAAGAACTTATGGTAGCGAGTGCATTAGATGGAAACCAAAAACCATAAACTTAAGTCGAAAACTTATCTATGAATACTACGGTAAAAATGTTTTCGCAACAGTTTAGAGGTTTTCCATTTCTCAACAAAGCTTTTTTTTTCAGTTCACCGTCATTTCTCTTCTTCCCACATCGCTAACCATTCTCTCAAAAGCAGAGTTTTTTCCGGTTATAAATAGACTTCCCCAAAATCCTCAGAGACACTCAGTTCATTCATTTAGGAGCGTTACCATACAGACATTCACGTGTGTGTGTGTCTTTTCTCCATTCCTACGCATTCATCACCGTTGAATTTCGCATCTTTCAGGCTCTCGTTCGGTTCGCGTCACGCCCTCCTCGTTTCACGGACGCGCGGACGACGTCACCCCCTTCGGCTTCTCCCCCATCGCCAGTCTCCTCTGTGTGTGTTGACTCCGCCTCACGGTGCTCGTCACTTTCAGCTCAGATATGAACTCCACCGCCGCTACCCATGCTATGCAAGTCATTCTTCTAGTTTTCATCGCAGCGGTAAGTTTTTTGGCATGAGATCAATACAATCAAAAAAAAATTACAGAAAACCTATGTGTGGTCAAATTTCATGTAAATATTGCAAAAAAAGCTATAGAAAGGTTGCTGCTCTCCACCTGCAGCCACACTCTGTGTATAAACCGTTTTGGAACCAATAGCGCAAACGCGGCGTACTAAACGACGCGCATTCGACATTTGATGTCACGTAGGTAGATCATCCGTGATTGGTCGCATCGGGCAATATCTTTCCCTTTTCTTTTCCTAGACCAGAGTTACCTAAAGGAGAGTGAGGAGGGGAAGTTTTCATTAGTTTATATACGGTTATACTCCTACTTTTATAAGTCCAGCTTGACACCAAGTGTCAAATGCCCGCCATTTAGCGCTCCGCATTTGCTCATCCGGCTCTAAACTGGTTCGCAGGTTATCTACGAACTTTGTATGTATAAAATTTAACTGAAAATAGTTGGTATCGAGTAGAGAAACTTTTGTTCAAGTAATCAAGTACCATCTCTTTTTCTATGCATCCTATGACGCACCAAATGTCAAATGCCCGTCGTATAGTGCGCCGCACTTGCTTAAACGGTTCTGAATTGCGTTACAGGTTAATAGCTCCTACCTTAGACATACATGAAGTTATCAAAAAAACCTTCCTAAGCGCAACATGAGCTTTTTGAAATTTTGACCACCAGGAAAGAGATGTTGAGTCATAAAAAAACCTCTGCACCTACAATTGCACGAAAGCAAAAGCTTTTGCAATTTAATGCGACAAATGATGGCATTGTGAAGTTTACTCTTTAAGCAGGAAAAAGTAGCCTGGTATTCGATTTCTTTCCTCTCCCACTATTCTTTTCTTTACTTATTTAATCGACGTACTTTTCTTCTGCTGGAAAAGGCAAACATTTCAAATAATAAGAGCTGATAAAAAATGGAAAAGCATTTGAATTTCAATGCAAATGACATGATTGGATGTAGAAAGCAGCCAAAACTCTTGTGATCTGTCAGACACACACTTTACCATTTCTAATATTCAAGTGTCAATGGTGACATAAAAGTTTGTCAACACATAGTACAATGATCTTCGCAACTTGAATATCCTAAGCCACAAACTCTCGTGACTCATAATAGCATTGGAGGACTTTATGTTCTTCTTCTCTAGCCTTATAGAGGTTAGGTGTAGCAAAGAGTGATCTGAAATTCCATTATGAGGGAAGAGGATGTACTGAGAAGGTCAACATTTTTATACTTAGAGAGCAATAGTAGATCAAAGAAGACCGTTGTATTCCACTTTCGTACTCGATCCATTTACAGAGTAATTTGTACTACTGAATGAGTATAGTTCCGAATAATTGTATGAGATACATTTATTAATTTTGTACTTGAATATTTTGCAGTTATGTTCAAAAAATGATAGTAAAAGCGTATTCCGATAATAGAGGTCGACCTATGAAGAACCAACTTTTCAACAGATAATCATATCAAGCGAATGTCCTGTAAAATATTCTCAGTAAGTAAATAGGGAAGTAAAAAACCAAACTAAATACTAGGGATTGTAAGTCCTAGTGAGCAGCAAGTATCTGAGTTATAATTTGGGTAGCGGCTCCATTCCTGCGCGGACAGCTGGTACAATTCTGTAATGCCTGGAATGTGTGGAGCTGCGTCATTTATCGCAGATGTCCGCATAGGGCCACCTCTTTTCGGTGACATATAGTCTCTTACCCTTATAACTTTAACCCTTACAACATTCATCCTGTATAAGGACCGAAAATCTATGGCCTATCATTTGGGTAGTCAATGGCAAACTTTCGTATTCAAAACCAAATAAATGGTAGTAGCAAGCTTTACAAAGGTACCAATAATAAGAAGAAAAGTTTTCAATTCACAGTAAATAACCAAAAAGTTCCGTTTCGTTCCTGCCCTCAGACGGAGTAAAAGTATTTACAGACCTTTCCCGGAACTCCTCACTAAGGAGGAAAGGTCTGTAAAACTTATTTTTAATACAGAAAAGTAAGTTTTTTAGGAGTAATAAGTATGCAAAATTTTTTGAAAAGGGTTCTAAGAAAGCCTCCTCCTATAACTCCCAGAAAAAAAGGGGTTGCGAAAATTTTTCGGTCGCGATCTTTTATCGCAATTTAGTACAATTACTCATACTCAACAATTTCCTTGTCCCAGATGATTGTTACATATTGTTCCCCTTAGAAAAATCTTTCCAAGCCCTGCTCCGCATCCTCTTCTCCGTTTTATTTTGCTGATTAGATAGAATCTTTTACTGCAGAAGAGAAAGAACAGATTTTGTTGCAAAAGTTAATGTAAGTGGCATCATTTCGAGATGCCACAATGAACTTGAGAGACTTCTTTTGGCTATATAAAAACATATTCTCTACATTTTCTCAGTCACGTTTTCTATGTAAATTAATACTTCTATACTTTGTAGTCTCAAGAAATAGCTCAATCACAATGGTCCCAGTTCCACTCACTTTGAACAGGCGGTTAGGGGGGGGGGGGGGAGAGAGGTGCGAGGGGAACAACTGTAGAAATAATTTTTGTTTGACACGGATTACCACTTTTCTCTCGGAGTGAAAATTTCTTGACAGACACAATAGCCCCAAAATGGTTATGAAGGAACACTTTGAATGCTGTAGCTTTCATTTCGATTGGAGCGCATTTTCTTCTCTATGGCCGAATTTTTTATCACAATGCAGCGGGACTACAATATCTTCATTGCTTTTTCTCGCATGTCTAATCAACCGAAATCAACGCAGAAAATTTCTAAGCCAATTCATAACATTTACTACTTCTGTTGCAGTGATATATTGACCGACTATAAAAATTATATAAGCGCACAATTATTCTACGTTCTGTTCTGACCACATAGTACAAATCGTTTGACGTTATGAACTATTCATGAACTCTAGACCTTATGACAATATGGCATTGTTTTTGGTATCCGGGACTATGTTAGATTAATATCTAAGTTGGAGGTCCATTTATTATGCGTGGCTGTACTGATATGTGCTTTCTTGTGCCACCATTAAGAATCATGGGAGCGTTAAGTACATAAGTTCCATTGCTCTCCGAGTAGACAATGTGGATCCAGGAGGAGGAGAAGGGGGAGGGGGTTCTTTAATCTTAGTTTTGAAGAGCCTGATAGTTTGATCTACCACAAGCTTCCAGCAACTAATTCAAAACTATATTATTGAACATTGGAATGAATTGCGGAAAGTATAAAAGTTTGAAATAAAATGAGCGGGAGGATTTACAACTCAGATAGAGTGAGAAAAAAGAGAGAAACAGGAAAAGACAAAAGAAAGGAAGAAAGAATTTAAGTAGCTAGCTAGAATGAAGAAATAAAAGAAACTGCAGACTTCAATTCCTTACTAAAAAGTTCTGGAAAGTAGAGAAGATTCTTTCGAACCGAAAGAAGAATCTGAAGAAAGGCAGTATAGAATTTTGTTCCACCATTTTGATACTGCCCTTCAAAGTAAGCAAATTTTCAATTTTATTCTATTTTGTTACAAAAAATAGAGTGTGTTTGGGTCTTCCACATTATAAATCAAATAATATAAACAACTTTTTGGCACAGAATACTTTGTCAATATGAACAAGTCTTTTGCTTTTTGCTCCATCATTTTGATACTTTCCCATAAAAGCAAATTTTCAATATTATTCTTTTTTGTTACAAAAAAATAGAGTGTTTGGATCTTCCAGTGTCTAAATCAAGATGAACAACTTTTTGGCACAGAATACGTGTCAATATAAACAAGTCTTTTGCTTTTGCATGCTTAGTCTCCATGTTTACAAACATTCTACTCTAGATACGATTTCTTAGGAACAAAATTCAATACTTTTTTACGCTCTAACATGATTGGCGTTACTCCAATGAGTAAACATAATTCAATGAGGCAGCAGTTGTAAACAAAACATTATGACGCTTTATCCGGTAAACTTTGTTTTGACTGGTTTCACTTCGATTTGGCAAAGATGCTATGCACAAAAAATTGGATTGCTTGAGCTGCATAAACAACAAACAAATCGAAAAAAAATTAGGCAAGAATTACAAGCGATACCTTTCAGGAAAAATCATGGGTGATACTTCGAACTTACAACATTTCCAGTTCTTAACTTTCTTATCTTCATGAATGGCCCCAGAATATCAAGTAGTCCATTGGACTTCAAGACGTCTCTCTTATTGTGAAAAGATATTAACTTGTTTATAAACGTTCCTCATTATTTTTAAAACTTAAAGCGAATGGAATGAATAAAATCAAATAATCTAGAAACTGATTTGGCATATTGTAAAAATTCTTTACCGAACTTTCTGCGATACTGTACTTTACAAACTTGCAAAACCTTGGCGATTCTGTTATTTAGTATAGCAGCAAATGAAGCCAATTAGAGTTCATGCTATTAGAAAAGAGGAAAACTTTTCTTCACGCTTTTTTCTTGAAATCTGAAGATCACAATCATTCAAACTGTTCTGTCAGAATCTAAAATATAGATAAAAAAAATCATGAATTCGACCAAAAAATTTCAGAAAAAAATTGGTTGCATTTGTTTCAATTGCAAAAATTTGCAGTGTGAAGAAAGAGGATTTAGAAGAGACATTCCATAAAAAATTAGTACCTATTTCCTTCTACTAAAGACATTTCGCGCATTGACAACTTCCAAATCCATACAAAAAATATGGAAAAAATGGGAAAACTTTTATTTTTCTACCATCCAACAGTCTTTGCCACAGTTTGTATTACAGAAGCTCACGAGTTGAGGGAAAGTTGATCACCTTTGAGGACTCATTATTTGATTTAGCTAGTAACAAGCTTCATTGATCTTCACTGCACTCATTCATTATACTATGAGCACAGAACGTTGTAGTTGGCAAGGGTCCAAAACATCGTCTACCCTCTGTATTCACTTTTACTGAATTTTTCATTTGACAAGTTCTACACAATGTTTTCGCCTCGTGTGTGCTTTCCCCCCACATCAGTCGTGCTAATGAAAAAGCAAATGTTGGGAAAGATGCGTAGCACATGTGACGAGCTGCAACTCGTCCAAAACATTTGAGACCACACAAGGTTGTACTCGATGAAGGGAATAAATAATTGCGAGTCTGAAATTGTTTATTGGCACTTTTAGCGAGACTACCAGCGATGGCTTTGTTCGTATAAATTATTATTGAAGAATTTATGTGGTCGGAACATTTTTTGGTCCCTCAATAAATAATACAGGTTATCAATTAAATAAATCAAAGCTACAAACATAAAAATACTTGAACATTTTCTGGAAAACTTGACAGAGCAATGAATGCTAAATTGTGTCTTAAAAAACAAGTGAATTTCTTTGAAGTTTGCTTTTCAACGATTTTGTGCCGAAATCCAATTTCTAACGATTTTTCTTTTTCCTTAGCGATACAGCAAAGTTTTTTTTTCTGGAAAATTCTTGAAAAATTATGCAGTGAGATGTTGAATCATTCTTTTTCCACTTCGCTTCAATACCTCCATCGTGTGTTTTTTGTGGTTACGTAAGTGCTAAAAAGAAAGCAAAACTGATGTCAACATTCCCTTATTTGCTGTTGTGGGCGTTTCTATTGTCTTTGGCATGGCAGGTTTCATTAGAGTTTATTCTAGCGTACACAAACTACTGGTGAGATTATTGAATAAGAAAAAGGCAAAAAACAAGAAACAAAAGAAAAAAGATGAAATTCACAAGATATGCCCACTTTGAGCGGTGGAACTTGGAATGCACAAAGAAGGAACATTTTTTTTATTATTCAAACTTGATTTGTGCACAATATGCAGTAATGAAGAATATGAAGCAAAAAAGGAAAACACGAAAAATGCCCAAACCAGAGCGTCAATTGAAAGACTAAAAAAGAAAACATTTCAAACTTCAAGTTAGATCAATCATTTGCAACTTGCACCGCTTATATTGATGTATTGCCAAAACTGCGACCTCTAGGCTTAAATGCAGATTTTGAAGTTGAATTTCTAATTAGGACGTTACTGAACTCAGATTATTCAGAAGGTTTCCTCTAGTGTCACTTTCAGCTGTATCTGCACTCGGAATTGGTTCGATTGTTTATCGCTTGACTCTCTAGCAGAAAGGGTTTCCAAATTTTTTGAATTCATATATTTTTTGGCTAAAAAACGACGTTTCACTTTATCAAAGCTTTTTGCATTAGTCAAATCGAAAATTAGGTATTAACTGACTGAAAAAATGTTTTTTCTTCTCTATGGCTCGATCTGTTAAGAAACAGATTTTGTAGGCCATCTGGAGGGGCTTACCCAGAATTCGGCTCAGTCTCCTTTTCTTCCCCTTTCTCTCATTTTATTCCATTCAGATGGCCCTTTTTTCGTCTGATAATTCTAAGCCATTCTCACTTCCAAAACCTTAGTCTATTTGTAATCCACGAGGTCAAAAAACTAAAAAAATTGTTTGTCTTGACCAGCAGTACTTTTCCGTGTCATGTACTCAAGTGTTTTTTTTTCAACACCCAAAAGCCGTGAGTCATTTTTCTGCGAATTCGATACACTTCATTCCCTGAGGAGAAAAGAGTGATGAAGTACCATGCTTTACGAGGTGTTACATATGGATTCAGAAATCACGTCATGCTAAGAAACTTCGTGAAAAACGAGAACTTTTTAGAAACTGAAGATGAGACTTTTACTACGAAGTTTGCTTAATAGTCTCCATGAAATTTTTCTGAGCAAGTATTGGGTAAAATATAACTAGTTTCTCCACATTCCGAAAGTTGCAGAAATCTGGCGATCTTCGTAAATCCAATAAATCATCGGAGGAAGACCATAAAATTGTGCTTTCTGACGCTTGAAACCCGTTATTCTTTTCAAATATTCATATTTCGCATATGCAGAATACAAGTAGGTCTACAATACTTACGCAAGCACTTTTATTAACATATAGATGAAAGTACCCCATATAACATCGCAAATGTACAAAAAATTCCAGATTCGATCAATATTTCAAAGCAATTCCAGAAATACTCTCTTCAAACAAAGGTGCAGGAAAGTCCTATTTAAGCTGCAGATTTAGCATGAGAAGTTGAAGGCATTAAATGTGAGACTGGGAGATTGACAGTTAGGTTGGAAAGAAGACATCAAGAAGGAAGGATGAATTAATGAAAGCGAAGTTAAGCAAAAAAGTTAATTGCATAAACGTGAAAAGCTTAGGCAGGTTGTTGGCTTGATCTAGCATATAAAGAGGTGATATTTGGAGATCTAACTATGAAATGTTTCCTTAGAGTTCACTATGGAATAAATGGATCAAAACCCCTTTGATTGTTGAAGAACTTATTGAAATAGTATCTAAATACTCAAGTGTCTACAACTGCTTGTTCTCATTAGAAGTGCTAGAAGTTTTTTAGGTTGAATTAATTTCATTCAAAAGACGTAGCACTAAAGATACTGCTTCTGATTAATTATATAACAACTTTGAGAATTATATAACGTTTCAAGAAATTTTCGTTTTCTCTGCACTATTTTCAGTATGGCAATAATGTCTTGTAATACAAAATCGTTTACCCTTACTATTTTTTCAATCAATAACCTTAAACAATACAAATCATTTTCTTGGTGGATGGCTTTTCTGACTTGTCATCTCAAATGGAATGCTATTCCAACCTTGCGTAATCTCCTCTAATTGAGTAGACAATGTTGTCATGATTTGCGCCAGGGACTGCATGAAGGTTTCAAAAGGATTAAAGTGCTAGAGAAGCGTACGAAAGACGACGTAGCCCATGAACCTTCGATCAATGAAATTATTCAAAGAATCAGGGTACCTACAAAATAAATCAAGAGAGTTTATATGGAAGAAGGCATAACAAAATGAAATTTTGCAGGCTATTGTCTCCAGTGCACCATCCCGACAAAAACGAGCCTTCGACTCTTTCGTGAGTTTTTTTCCTTGTACAAGTCATTCATACAGTCATTTCATATACAGAAGATAGAACTTTGAATTGAACGTATACGAGTTTTAGGCTGGCAGTTTTTCCGGATTGGATAAACGAGCATTTGATGCACTGGTGAGTCGCACAATCTTTAAAGTGTCGAAAATCTGGGTGCAAATCATTTTGTCATCGATTGGGTCCCTCATAAGTTGATTTTTATTAATTTACAGGCCGGATCAGGATTTGATGGGTTCAACAAGAGAGCATTTGATTCCTTTGTAAGTTTTTTATATCCCTCAGAACAGATTAGACCAATGGCTTGGAAGTATAGTATGCAAACGCAGCGCTGTCATTGATAAGAGTCTATGTTTTTTTACAAAGCTAATCGTATTTGGGTTTTTTCGTGCTCTTAAAACCTCATACAAATTCCAAATGTTGATAAAATCTGTCATTACCAAAAATAGCTGAATGATATGTTGAAACTGGTGAAAGATAAATAAGTTTGGAAGACATTCTCTCTCCTATGAGTACAAGTTACTTCAAGTTCAAAAGTTATCTTTTAGGCCGGACAAGGATTCGGAGGTTTCGATAAACGCGCATTCGATTCCCTGGTGAGGAATTTAAGCTTGGACAAAAAATTCACATTAGAACAATTTCATTTTGTTTAACAAATAGTTTGGCTAGTCATAACAAAAAGTTGCTCGAAGTATTTAATTGTTTTCTGCGAAAAGGAGAGCCATAAGGGTTCAATAACACAGGTCCAACCAAATTTGTAAAGATTTCTTTCACCAACTCTGTACTCAAGTAATCTTGATTTTTTAGAGCGGCTCGGGATTAACTCCATTCAACAAGAGAGCCTTTGACGCTCTATCCGGCAGTGGTTTCAGCGGTTTCGACAAAAGGAGTAAGCTAGTTTTGGTAAGTTCATATCTTCTCATATATATCTATGCTCCATATCTGACTTGTTTCCAGGCCGGACCCGATGCTGTATACAAGCTGCCTCGTGTAAGTTTATGATTTCTTTCTTCTTTCAAAGACAGGGTCTAGAATACATATTGGTACAAAATTCTTATGTGGACAATGTTTTGAAGGTCTTAAAATCACCAGGTTCTGACAATGAGAATCATTCGTCTCCGAACAATCACCTCTAAACTTTAGCACAAACCGTAATTTCTTCTACCGTCCTCGAAACGATAGAAAGAGCAGTCTGTACACAACTTGAAGCCAAATTCGCCGCTGCTGATAATTCATGACTTCTAAAGTGATAACCTTCTAATTAGGGCCTGCCCTACAATTAGTTAATATAAGTACTCTTGTACTCAGATTTGCCCAAACACTTTCTATACGAAGCTGTTTCTAGTACATTCAATAATGGGAGTATTATGAGGGGTAAATTTTCCAGAAAGGGTGCAGATAAACAGCGTGAAAAAAGCGATAGGGAGCCTTTTTTATTTATTTTTCCTTATGAGGACCGAACTAAGTAAGAACCAGACACATAGTCTTAAGGAAAGTTGCCTTTCTTGATGCAAAATGCATTAGCAAAAACTGATTCAAGTTCTCTATACTTCAACAAAAGCCTGCTTCCAGAAACTACCAATACGTTTGTTTTATTGAATAATAATCAAGAAACAACATATTTCCATTTTAGATATTCATACTAAAGCAAAAAATTTGAGTAAAACTGAATTTAGCGCGAAAAAAAAGATGGAAGAGCTATGGTCTTCCCAAAAAATCTGATTTTGTAACTGAAGGAGAAATCGTTTCAATCTTGTGCAGAAAAGGGCAAAAGATGAGCATATTTTTTTCCAAAAAGGGTGCAGCAAAGCTAATTCAATTCGGTCAGCTACGTATTTACTGCAAGGATTTGATTTGTTTGAAACATCAAAATTGACCTCTACTTCCGGTGGTAGACATGAAAGTATATGAAAAAAATTCCCGAAAGCTCTGGATTTTTCAGGATGGGCTCACGTTGTGATGTTGCAGAACTCCAAATCTCACAATCAGATTCTATAGCTAGGTCAGTTTTCATTTCCTTTACAAAGCCGAGAAAGGAGAAGGATAGGCACTAAAACTGTGTACAAATATCGCATGACGGACAATCTGATTCTGAGAAAAGAAACACCTCGAATTTATTATCAGGGTTTGATCATGAATTTGTCACCAGAATATCAGCCACCTGCAATTTGACCAAATTAAAGAGATCAACTTTTCTTGTTCATATACAGATTTTGTCCAAGATTTCAACCGATACTTTTCTCCACCTGTTCATCAATTCTCCTAAGCTGATGGCTCCTGCATCCAGGAGATTTGTTGACGTAGACTACTCAAACCAATGAAGTGTTAAGAACACAGCTATAAAGTGAAGGTCACTTGGTGTTCTCCAAGAACTGCGCAACTTTTAAGCATGATTTTATAGGGTCAGTCTAATACTACTGAGATTCAATATGATTCTTTTCAGCACCACAACTCCGCGATTTCCACACAAAATTCTAAAGATCTATTCAATAGAGGCATTCAATAAATCACCACTCCATTGTATATGCATTGATACCGGTCACATATAAAGATGTTGTTGCCATGTGTTTACTTCTATTTTTCATATCACTGCTTAATTGTCTCTGAACTGCACAAAATAATAGAGAAGACTGCAGTGAGGTAAACGACAGGGAAAACTATGAAAAAAAAACTAAAACCACAACGAGTGCTGTAAATTCTTACAAATGGTGTGCGCAATAAAATGCAAACTAGGGAAGAAGGAAAAAAACTAAATTATCACCATAAGATAGCGGTGTTTTTTTTACCTATCAATGATTAATCTTTATCTAACAAATATTCCTAACTGTACATTTAATTATTCTATACTAGCTATGCCTTTCGCTTTTGGTCGGAGCAATTCAGCTTGCTTAGATTCTAATGATCGTCGAGCTTCTGCTCTCGCATGTGCTTCCTCCATTTCTTTTATCTCACCAAGCAACTGGACAGCCTTCTTCTGTAACGATAGTGTTTGACACTTCTGGCCATCAAAAGATCGAAAAAAATCACCGCTAATCGTATTTGTTCGAATTTTTGCTTCAATTGTTCCCTGGACGTCACATGAATAGTACGTCCTTCTGAAATACTATGGTTGACAGGATTACGAACTGCGGGAAGCAATGAGCATTAATTTCTGGAAGTTGCTATGGTTGGGAAATTTTGAGGGAAGCGAATCGAAATGACGCTGATACTTTTTAGTTCACAAAAGTAAAATTTCATCGCGCTCAAAGATTTGAAGTGAGGCGGATAGTGACCTTGGTCTGTTGAGTTGGTAAGGTTAGTAAATATAGGAATTCGCGAAGAATCACACCTCCAACAGCTGCTTACAATTACGCACGTTTGACCATGAATTAGACCAGCCGATTTCACAGTATAGTCTTTTACGGTGACGACGACACTTGCGCGGAAAATGCTATGCTTGTGAATGCCAACAGCTTGCTTTGCGAGCACAGAATGGTCATAGACGCACAATGTGGCAGGAGCCAGACTGAACTTTTAGCCGCTTCGTGTTTGGTTAGATCAGTGACTAATTCAATAAGCGGCTAAGCGGTTAGGCAGATTAGCCTGAAGTTTACCTGTCATTGTACCCACAAACGTTGTTGGAAGCGCAGGCGCACTAAATCATTCTCTAACGGGTGTAAGACGTTTCGCACGAACCGTACTGCTTTCCACACAGGACCACCGCCGCGTGCGAAACGCCCTGCGGCGGCTTTTGCCTAAGCAAAACAGGGGAAGGAAAGATTTGCGGCGTGCATTACATGTTAAGACAGGTCAAATTCAGGGAGACTCTGGAGACCGCCCGTGCGAAAAGACCGTCTCCCTCCTCTAACCTACCATACAGACTAAAGAGACTCACCTATAACAGAAAAGTCAGGCCCAACCTCGAGTGGGTTCACATGTGGAGCAACATAGACTCTAAAACAAAGACACAATTTTGAATATTATGAGAATTTGCTGCTACCAAGCACTTACGGTTGCTTCCACCATTGATAGCGTCCTCTCAACCTAGCCACACTAGGAGGACCTCCACTACCACTTTGAACTGCAGCTGCACTCATGCAGCGCAATGACATCGCAGTGAGCGAATGTGGTACAGCCATTTCCTGAGTTCAGCATTTGAAAAACAGCGCGATTTGAGCAATTCATGGATTTTTTTCTGCGAAGGTAACATATACACGGAAATCACTTTAGCGTTAACACTGCATCTGATGAGCCCTGATCACATCTGCAGCAATCGTAAAAACTCGAATGGACTAAAGGTTGCACTTTTGATGCAAACTTAGCAAATAGGGAAATACAATGAGAATGCAGAGGTACAGGAGTGTGCGCAACACTGTGCGGGTATCTACAATCAATTGCAAAACATTTATATACAAAGTGCACAACAACTTCGCCCGATAATCTTTCACAACAATCAACAAATGCACCATTACAACACGAAATGAATAAAATTAGTAGTGAAACCTCTATAGATATTGATATACATACTATGAAACTGTCGCAGTTTTACCCGACAACATAAAATAAAAAAGGAGGTACTTGGATGAGTTGAAACAAAAGTGAAGGCTATAAGATCAATGCTGCAAAAAATTACGCCCACATTTTTATGACATTATCCCATCCACCTGTAAGTATTTTACTCTTTTCATGTGGGTGCCACCGAGCAGAGATGCAGGTACTGTCATGAGCCTTCCATCTTGCAACAATTTTGTGCGTTCTCCAGTCCCAAATGAAAAGCTTCCCGTCAGCATCTCCACTTATTATGAAACTGAAAAAATTATAATAAATAGAGCTGAGCTAACTTATAAATGCAGATTACCTCATATCTGGACTGAAATCTGTTACACATGCATATCCTGCGGAATTGTGACCTCTGAAGGCTTTCTTCTTAGCGAATCGCAGTTTCTCGTCTATCAGTTGGAACAGCACGATACGGTTATCCATAGACTGGCCAACCACCCACTTTTCTGAACACAAACAATTTGAAAACTTGCAATTCATTTCAAAAATAGGAAAAAATAGGCTTACCATTCGGACTTTTGTTCATAGTCGGTATAGAGTGAAGACCAACGTTTTGTATTAGTTTGGTATCGACTGGGATTTCCCATTCCCAAATTCGAATTGACTTGTCGTCCGAAGTCGACGCAAAGCGTCTGTTTTTGTCAAAGAATGTGATGGAATTAACGGCGCCCAAGTGACGATCGTACTCCTATAAAAGATAATATACAGCATTTTTCGCGAAAATATGAGGATGATGAATATAGGAAGGAATGAATTACCTGCACAATTTCTCCAGTTCGTGAATCCCATTGTATAATCTTTTTGTTTTGCATACCAGCGAGGAACATGTGGTTTTTATCGTCATCAGGATGGAATTTGACGCAAAAAGGTATGTGACCAGTATGGAAGCGCTGTTTGACCTAAATACTAATGGATACGATGAGAAACCAACAAGATACAACAAAAAGAATGACATTGGGGAAAGATATGCTGCAGATAACCAAATGTAAAACTCACTTGTCCAGTTTCTGTGTCCCAAAGTTTGATGTATCTATCGAAACTAGCAGACAGAAATTCTGTGCCGTCGTTGTTGAAAACAACTTCGCGTACTGGTAATTTATGACCAATATACGTCCGCACAACTTGATGTTTTCCATAAACTTCCCAAAGTTTGATCTAAAAGTATGATTTAGAAGTAGGTTACTATCCATTGATTTGGTTACGTAGATTCTACCAAAGCGCAATGGACCTAAAGACAAGCATAGCTAATGCAAGCCGCCACAGGAGTTTCCCTTTTTTAGATCGCAAGGTTTTAGAACAAAGCTATTTTTATGATATAAGGGTGATATTGTATGTTTTAGCGTTTTAGAGCTTTGCAGAATTAGGTCGTGGTAGCTAATGCCTAACTATCAAGATATGACAAGATCCTCTACATCAAACACAGTTGAACATAATGTAACATTTCGGCGAATGACAAATTCATAAGCATGGCAAGGTTTATAAATCTTGCCTTAGTATCCATAGAGCAAGACAGAAATAGATGCGCACTCTTGGGGAACCACTGAAGGCAGTTGACTCCTTTGGTGTGCCCTCTGTACACATGAACTTGTTTCTTAGGAATGAAACATCTGAAACCCAAGAATATGCTTGACTGTTGCAGGAAGTTCCAAAGAAGTAAACAGAAAAATTACTTTTCTGGCACATAATCTGCTCGCAAGTTGACTCCAGTAAACGCAGGTGGTACAAGGAAAGAACGTCCTTGGTAATCCTGAGCTTCTTTCACTGCAAAAAAAAAACCGATGCATAACGAGTTGCGGCAGTGCTAATGATTGTCAACTCACAGTGAAGTACTGAAGATTCTTCAGCGCATTCATCATTTTGCGTTTGTTGCTTTCGTTTGAACCGTCGGCTATTTGCTTGGCGCTGAGAAATTAGCATTCATTAAAGTCATAAAACTTGAAAGACTTCTCACCTTTCGAACAATCTCATCCATTTCTTTCTGCAATTCTGGATCCGGTTTGGCTATGGTTTTTTCATCACAATATTTTGCCCATGGTCCTGCAGATATGTTTTAACATCTATAGTAGGAAAAAAAATTTGCACTGGTGAGCATAGCCATTGCAATACCTGTATAGCCTTCCACATCTGATGGATCGAAATTCGCTAGCCGTTTTCGTTTTTCGCCTCCAGTTTTCTTCGAATCAAACAATGACGCTTCCTGACTGTTGATGGCCTCCTCCTTGTTTCCAATGAACTCACTGCCTGAAGCAAACTCACTCAGATTGAGAAATTCCCCTCGAAACGGAAAAAGCGGACTAACTCTGATCAGCTGTAGGATTGCGCGCATATCCCAAAGTATCAAAACTGCGCAGTTCGCGTGTAAAATGGAAATCGTTGATATGGGCAGGCTCCACAAAACTAGAAGACGACACTATCTTGAAAGCACACAATACCGATGGAAGATCTTACCCGGTAAGAGTATTTTTAGGCGCTTTCTGGTTCTCTGATTTAAATGGATTACTTGGCCCGGCCTAAACATCAGTCGTCAAAACAAGACAAAAAATGCATAGATGTTCGACGACAGTCAGTCAAGAATGTTAAAAAAATCACCTCCGGTTGAAAAAGTTGATCGTACGTTGGATTTGTCATAAGCTCTTTTGTCCGCGGATCAACAATGGCGATTTGCTTTACGATACTTTTTGTATTCACCTCTGGAGCCACCTAGAACAGACTTTGGATACAAAAGAAAGAATCATTTTTTTATCCAAACAACATTATCAAAGTACCCACTAGTAATGAAAAGCAAAATGAGGCAGCCTTCAAAGAAAAAAATTTACTCACAGTTAAAGAAGGAATTGCTAGGGATTTACAGTTTTCAATGGTGAGAGGTTTCTCTGGTTCATCGTCTGACATGTCTTCATCGCTGTGAGCGTAATCCTTCAGCAAATCCATCTAAATACACAGGTAGCACGATGAGGAAACAAAGAAGAAAAAACAAAAGCGTATCATACATACTCGTAATCGACAATATAATGCGATCTTGCAAATGGAAGAAAATTGAGGGAGACAGGAGAATACAAATTTCTATGATTAGAAACCGCAGAAGTCGTATATATCGTGCCACTTTCACTCACATATCTTATCGGAGGAAAAGTTAGTTCACTGTGCTGGGCCAAAACGAGAACAACGTGAGATAAAACAAAGAGTTTCGAATATTGATGACGAAGGCAAGTGATCAATCCGTCCAGCTGTTGCAACTTACTAAAACTCCTTCAATAACGAAAGAAAACTTTTGAAAGCGAAAAAAAGCCAGCACATTCGAAAAGATGGCGTACGAAAAAAAACGCCACAGGGGAGAGACGCAATTGCGACACTGCGGCAGACGAACGCTTGTGGTTTTGAATAAACTTTTGATTATGGAAACAAACATTCCGAGAACTTCTTGCATATGTCATTTGTGAAATTTATGAACGTTTTGAACTTGCATGGAGAACTTCTGGTAGTTCTCAGTTATGCACCCATGGCACCACAAAACGGGATAGTTATACCAGCCGTCAAAATTTGCGCTTATTAAACATTAGTGCAACTGAACAATTTTCGAATTCGCCACAATTTTTTGAAGTAGAGCGCGCCAACTTCGTTTCTGCGCTCAGCTTCCTATAGCTTTTCTTTTTTGCTTCCTTCTCTTAGCTGCTTCATATCGATGACGTTTTTCTTACTAACTGTTCGCCGTTTCTTCTGTAGTACTGCGGCCATGTCTAACCAAGGATGAACGCTCAGTTACGAAATATTTTTCATATACCATATATATATCATCATATTTAAAGTGAAAGAGTCTAAAAATGAGCACCCAAGGTCCCGGCCACACTTCGCTCAAAAGCAGCCAAAAGCGCCCAGATTTGAGGAAACATGAGGGAAAGTGAAGAGAGGTTAGAGAAATTTGGGCGCTTTTAACCGAAGTCTGGTCAGGGCCCAAGTTTTATTTCGCTGAGGCCCTGGCCAGACTTCGCTCAAAAGCGCCCAAAAGCGCGCAAAAGCGCGCAAAAGCGCCCAAACTTCTCTAACCTCTCCTCACTCTCTCTCATCTCTCCTCACACGATAAAGTGAAGAGACACCAGAAAAATTTGGGCGCTTTTGAGCGAAGTCTGGCCAGGGCCTGAGACGTAATGGCAGGTAGTCTCATATCTAATGAGCCTATAAACAACTTCCCCATGTGCAAAGCTATTCAAATTGATTGTAAGTAAACCCACCAAGCAAAGTACTCACTTCTACTCTTTCAATCCGTTCTGCTTCAACTTCATCAATGTTCTTTTCCTAATCACATGTTAACACTGTGTGCAGTATTCCAGAAAAAAAACTAAGACCAACTAGGTCTTCGACAGATTCATACACAATTTCCCCTTCAGCCGAGAGGGATGTGTTTCTCTAATTCTTGATGAGAATAGCACTTCACAATCGAATACTGGATATATGCAAGCTGCGAATTTTTAGCCATTTTGATTACAGTACAATCATACTCCTTTTTAAATTTCTGATTACAGGATTTGATGCGTGCAATACGTGACTATGAACAACATGTCGGTAACTTCAACAAACTTTACAGACATTTATTCGACGTTAATAACAATAAAGTAACAACGGCGATCACCAGAGAAATATTTACTCTTTGAGGTCGCGCAGACGACGGATGGTAGATCGTACAGTGGCGGCAGTGACAGTTCCGTAAACGTACCTAAACCACAGGAAAGATTGAATTAAAGTGAGGTCGAAGATGCAATGAGTAGATAAGCAAAGGTTTTGTACAACGTGCAAGAAAGTTGAGGTATCCAAACTTACAAGGACAATGTAAAACGAGCATTAAATAGGTGAGGAAAGTACTCACGCTCCTCCAGCAACGGTCTTATTGCATTTGGAACAACTCCAGATACCGACAGCTTTGCGTTTCATGGCTTCCTTTCCACAGAAAACACATGTATATCGCGAATGTTGCGTCACTTCCATTTTCTTGACCATCTTACGTAAAGACGCACCATAGCGGGTGCCGTATTTTCCGACAATACCGACCTTCTTGGTGCGCTTGGCCATTGATAACCCTATAAACGAAAAAGATGCAAAATGAGAAAAAAATACGAGCTCTCAACTGGAAAATTGACCAAGCAAAATGGGATGCTTCGAATTATTTCAAACTGCAAAACGCAAAGAAGCAATGAATTAAATCACCACATTGTCAGAATAACCAATTTCTCTGGATCCTGGTACTCGACTATGCAGTAAGTAGGAGATATATCTAATTTCACTTGCAGACAATTACAAAGCCACAAAGCACGCCCACTGACAAAGGAAAACAAAAAATTGCGAATCCGTAGGCCACGAAAACTCGAAAACGAGGAAGAAATGACTGAGTATCTGCTTTGCGGCGCAGTTATTTGGCTGCGTATGTTTGGGCGGAGCGCAGGCTCAATCGGATCCGCCCCCTTCCACGTCGCTTGAGTTTAACAATCATTCAGACTTTGTTTTATTTGCTCTAAACCACATTTTTAATGACTTTGGCATGACTGATCATGTAAAAAAGTTTTTTTCATTAATTTGATGTAGTTGTGCTGTTTTTGGAGCAATTTTATGCCGATTTTTTCAGGTATTTGAACTGAAACATGGGTAACAGTGATAGCGTGCCTATTCCTGGAGGTGGCACCGAAGGATACCATGTGTTGAGGGTGAGTGCAAGTCTATATACTTTTTTGCATGTTTTTCTTTTGTACACACGCTTCCAGTAGGCGTGCGGTTTATTGCATCCCTTTTTTACACCGATGGTCCATGCAGTTTTTTCCAGTTGAAAATTTTCGATGAGTTTTGTTGATAGTTGAACTGAATCACTGCTTAGCCAATTCTGTCACTCTAAAATTGATGCAGCTTTTTTAGCCTCTAAATACGTATTCGTCATCATACTCAGATTTTCGCCTGCTTTTATTCTTTCGATTGGTGACCTGAGGATATGTTTCAGATTCTTAGAATGTTCTTATGCCTAAACAATTTTGCTTTTTGACGACATATGCTTTTATCTCATATTATTTTCGGCTTCCAACCCTTTTTCATCTACTAGCGCTTGAGAGATTGAGTTGAAAACTGTGTCAGGAATCTTTTGCTCATGCGAACATTCCAAAAATACCTTCGACGAAGTTATTTCAATGGCAGTGATGCGTTTAGATTTTCGCTGATCATGAAAAGCAAAGCAAATTATGGAGTTTCTAACTTTCCGTTCCATAATTTGTTTTCGTATTTCGGGTAGTCATAGATCGGTTTTCCTCTGTATTGCCTTTGTTTTTTAGTGTAGAAATTGCCATAAGCTTATCCTTTAGTAGTACGCACTTCTTCTTAAAAATGTTAAAAATCAGTCCTTGGAATCATGAATTCTACTATACAGTCAGCTGGATCGAACTTCCAGCCTAACTAATTGAAGTAGATGTAATGTACCATCATAGGCGAAACGGATTCCATGTTGTTTGGTAAGCTCAACACAATATGCTGACCGGTTCTAAATAGATCATCACAGCCAAGTGACGTAATCGGGCTATAATCGTTGGAAATAGGCACTGAGAATTATCGAATGAAAAATCTCAATAGGGTACAGCCTATGTCAACCACATGCTCTTTCCATAGCAGCTACGCTTCCGCAAGCGTGAGCATTGCGCAGCGATCTCCGATCGATGCGGCATAATTCACCACTCAAGAAGTAGGCCAACGCGGAACTGTGCTCTAACGTTGCGTTTGAACTGATCGGAAAAAAGCATCGTAACGTTGCGTTTGAACTGATCGGAAAAAAGCATCGTTGACACGCATGTGCTTTTTCCTCTTTGGTCATTTATTTAGTCGATTTCTCATTATATCGATTCAGTTCACTCCATTACTTCTCCCTTGATTGATTTTTGACAGCGGCGAGCAACTCAAACTTAAAGCGTGCGAGGCTTTTCGCTGAGAAGCACTTTTTGTTTTCCTTTGTCTTTGTAGCTTTGTTCACATATTCTGAAAAACACTTGTCCACAAAGTGTTGCAGCTGTGCAAGTTCGGAAGTTTAGGTTCAAGATAATTCTCCTGGGCAAGCAGCGGGTTTGGAGCCCTTCTTCGACTTCATTGTTTCCATCGGAAATACTCGATTGGTAGGTATTTCGCTATCGATACTTTTATCCCATCTTTGTTTGCTTTAGGATAAGGACAATGATACAATGAAAGAGATCCTCAAGCAACATGTCGAAAAACCCATAGAATTGACGGTTTACAATAGGTAAGAGTGCTATAGCACTTTATCCTGAAAATGTATCATGCTTTTAGCAAAACGCAGACCGTTCGGCAGACCACTGTCGTACCTTCAGAATTGTGGGGAGGACAAGGTCTTTTGGGAGTCTCCATTCGATTTTGTTCTTTTGATGGTGCGAGTCAACATGTATGGCACGTAATCTCTGTTCAGGTAGATACTAACCTCACATTCAATTATGAGACTGCTAATTTCATCTTAATATTTAAGCCGAATTCGCCTGCCTCAATCGCCGGGCTGCAGTCGAATACAGATTATATTCTTGGCGCAGAGAGTGTTCTGAACCAAGCAGATGACCTTATCGCCCTTGTACAGGTTACTTTTTTTGCAAGATTTTTCCTCGTTTTGACTTCGATGAAAATTTACATTTTTCTCTGTTTTTAGGCTAATGAAGGAAAACCATTGAAACTGTACGTCTACAATGTTGACAGCGATGTCGTAAGAGAGGTAAGTTGTTTTGCCCAAATGTTGTTTTTTGGGTTTGATCGATCCTTTAGGTGAGCCTGACACCAAACTCAGCCTGGGGAGGAGAAGGCTGTTTGGGTTGCGATATAGGATACGGATATCTTCACCGAATTCCGATATCTGTGGATCGCTCGAAATCTCCTATTCCACCTCCGGTGAGGATTTTTTATATCAGAGCCAGTTGTTGGATTGTTATGATTGTTTGGATAAATGGTGGAGTTCAGGTCATTGCACAACAACCAGCTAAGTTACCGCAACCAGGCAACACAGGAATACCGCAGATTGATCAGGTACTTGACCACGTTCATACAGATTGTTTGCCACAAGCTTTTTTATGCGCAAGTCTTTCGGGCATTCTATGAACTTTGAATGTCTACTACAGGTTACCAAGCCTCCGGCTCCATCATCATTCCCTGATCCGAGTCAATTTGCCGTTACTGCTAACATGCCACCACCAAGCAGCTTCGCACTACCACCCACATCGTTCCCTCCGGCTCCACCCGTATTCACACCATTGTCCACTTCTACACCAATGACTCAGCCACAGACCTCCAACGGGCACACTGACGGACACTCTCATTCTCATGATGGACACGATGGCCACGGCCATAGTCATGCACCATCACCGGCTCAAGCTCCTGCGCAACAAAATGTGAGTTCAAAATGGAATCGCTCATCCTTGTTTATCAAATATCTCGAGATAATCTCAGTACCAAACTCCGCAAACTCCCACCCAGCCCATTTCAAACGATTATTACGCTCAACAACAGCAACAACAACAACAGCAGTATTCAGTAAGCAACGCAAAGAACATCTTCTACCGTACAACCAACTCAATAATTTCTGTTTTAGCAATACCGACCTCCGTCTACGATGGCTCCATCATACCAAACCACAGGGGCCCCTTGTCCCGTCCCGTATACATCTGCTGCTTACACTACGCCAATGACCAGGTGTCTGATTATCTCCAGGAATCGTAAAAGTTTTATCGCTATGAAATCTTAATCTCAATGTCCACCATTAATTTGCATACGGCGATAAAATCTCTAGGATATTTTAAATGAGACATTACTTTTGCAGGTTACATAATTTTACCGTGTTTTAAGTTTAATGTCACATTTGATGTAAGTGCAGTCCAGGAAATGGGGGCTGAAATAATTAGCTTTTCGGATCTATCTTTTTTTATGACTTGGATTTATCATTTTCGGATCGTTCTAGGTTATGGGCAAATAAGAGTCAAAGTCACCAAGCTTGTATGTAAATCAGTCTTCATTCAGCTATCCTCCTCCGGTTCCCTCGTCTATGCCACAGCCACCACAGCCCCTACCGCCCAATCTGCAACCATCATCCACTCAAAGCTACTTTCCTCCTCCACAGCCGCCAAATCTCACGCGTAAGCTTTTTTCTATTTTTTTCGGTTTTTCTGGATTTTATGAATTTCTTCGATCGTTATTTTATCGTTGCAGCTTCGATTCCATCTGGTATCCCGTCAGTTGTACCCACAATGTTTGCCACGGGCGCTACTAACGCCACAACCAATGCATACACTCCACCACCACCAATCAACTTTCCGATGCCTTCTTTGAGTTCCATTGGAATTACGCAATTGGCAGCTCCACCGACAACTTCGGCCGCAGAAAATTATCAGCAGCAGTATAGTCATGGTCAGTTCATTCATATACCTAACTGCTATCATTGAATTTTGCTACATAATGTTTACGTTCAGATGAGAGTGGTGAAGAAGAGCGTTGGTTTTGATTTTTTTTTCTGAACTGTTCTTTCCAAACATTGGTGCTTATTCTAGTTTCTTTAGTTTTCTCAAAACTTCAGCTCCTGTTACTTTATGAAACATTTTCAGCAGCTGGTCCAACTCCGCCACAGTTCTATCCCGTCTCGCAGCCGCAACAGTAAGCGAATGTAGTATGGCAAGCAATGCCCAAAAAATTATTGGTACTGAGGATATTAGCGGCTATTTTCATGTGCAGTAATCGATTTCTGTGATTGTGGATATAATTCTAGGAAAAACGATTTCGAATTACAACTTCCATTTGGGTGTTAACGAATGTTCTTGTGCTTGTTTGTATATGCCTAATTTATCTGTTGAATTATTGAGATTCAGTTATTTATGCAAATTTTTCTTGTTTTATGGTGGGTATAATAAAGCGTTTGATCTATGTGTTGATACAAAAAGTGGCTGTGTTTCGTGGCACTATCTATCTTTTTGAAAATTTGTGTAAGAGATATGTAAAGTATGTAAATATAGTAACTTATAGAAGAAGTAGCGCCGCCACAGTCATGACTTCAATCGAAATAGAAGCGGCTGAGTAAGTAGCATCAATCGTACTTTTTCAAATGTAGTTGCTTTGAGTTCGAATTTCAGTAGCGAGGTGAAACTGTGTGAAGTAAAGTGCAAATGAGTCAGTCGCAATTTTTTTTGCAACATACTGTGTTTTTTGCCTTTTTTTGCATTAATTGACTGCAAAAAAGTGGGAATTTGGGACATGTTAATTAAAGAATTTGCAAATTTCATGAATTTTGTAATCAGTTCAATTAATGTGTTGAAAAAAATGATATTTTCTTTAGTGTTGTCCGTCTCATCGAGCAGTATCTAAAGGAAAACAATCTGATGAGGACACTCGCTGTCTTACAAGTAGGGATAGATCTTGAATACTTTAATGTTCAATCGCATGCTCTATTGAGGAGGAGACGAATATCACTCTAAACACTGTAGACAGTATCGACTCCTTCTCACATGAAATCACAAATGGACATTGGGATACGGTATTGAAGATAATACAACCGCTCAAGCTACCTGCCAAGAAGCTCATAGATTTGTATGAACTGGTAAGTACTTTGCTATCTAAAAAATACTTTAAGGGATAAGAGTTCTGTAAGTGTGGTTGTCCTCACTTAGTTTATCTTTTGACGACTGTGTTCTGCGTTTGCATTTGGTTAAACAGGGAGACGAACATGTACAGATACTTATAGGCAATATTATGCCATTCGAAATGTATATTTAGACGTCAGTTGAAAGAAATCAACTTTTTATGAGCGAATATATTTCCACAAAAAAATGTGTAATGCTAGCTTTGTATTGGCTGTTTTTCTTGTCTCAATATATTACTCATTTCAGATGGTTATTGAACTGGTCGAGCTTCGTGAGTTAGCAACCGCTCGTCTCATTGCTAGGCAAACAGATCCAATGCATCTTCTCAAACAGATGGACCCAGAAAGGTTTGCTTACGTTTTTCCAGGGTATATATCTGGTTTTTCTGGTTTTGAAAAAAAAAATGCTGGTCCATGTGGGTGTTCGGTTGAGTGTAGGGTTTCTTTCAGATATGCGAGGCTTGATAACTTGATAAATCGGCCTTACTTCGATCCTGGCGAAGTGTTTGGTGACATGAGCAAGGAAAAGCGTCGGCAGGCAATCGCTAATGTGAGTTTGTTATGTGGTAGATAAATCTCACATAGTATGGTCGTCTATTTTTTAGTCTGCTTGTTGACAAAGATCGGATTTTTACTCATTGACCAAAGTTTTGATTGGGGCAAATTCGCTCAGATGTTCGGAAATTTGAAAAATAGTGTGTCCAGAACATCCATCTGTTTCAGTCGTTGGCTAGCGAAGTAAACGTTGTACCACCGTCACGTCTTCTGGCGTTGCTGCAACAGTCTCTGAAATGGCAGCTTCATCAAGGTCTACTACCTCCAGGTAACGATTTGCAATCTTCGAAAAACAGCAATTATCGAGATTTATCTCAGGAACGCAGATCGATCTCTTCCGTGGAAAAGCGGCTATGAGAGAGCAAGAAGATGAGCGCTATCCGACACAGCTGGCGAGACACATCAAGTTTGGTGCAAGTAGGTTTTCCAAACAGTATTCTTGATGTAGATTTCCAATCAAGCTCAAAATTTACAGCTAGTTATCCACTCTCCACGGTCTTCTCTCCTGATGGTCAATTTCTTGTCTCCGGGTCAAAAGATGGTTTCATAGAAGTGTGGAACTTTATGAACGGCAAGCTGCGTAAGGATCTGAAATACCAGGTACTCGAATCTGACACTATGAAAAAAAAAATCCTTTTTGAAATTATAGACCAAGATTACATTTTCATTCTGAGCAGCACTGAGAGGAGTTTAAAATTTGAGTTATAGGCGCAAGACAACCTAATGATGATGGATGAGGGCGTGACAGCACTTTCGTTCTCGAGAGATTCTGAAATGATTGTTTCTGGTAGCATAGATGGAAAAATAAAGGTATCATACATCTTACCATTTTTTGGCTACCATATATTTCTTGATCCCCTCTGCAGGTGTGGCGTATTCAAACTGGAGATTGTCTGCGACGGTTTGAAAAGGCACATAATTCTGCGATCAATGCCGTGCGATTTAGCAAAGATAATTCTCACGTCCTTTCGTGCGGCAACGACCATCTGATCAAGTAAGGCTCATCTATTCTTGTCTGAATTTTCTGCTAAAATATCCCTTTTGGAAAAGTACAAGTTTTTTATTATCATAGATGTTATTGCATGATTATTCTTCAGAGTTCACGGACTGAAAAGTGGGAAGTGTCTAAAAGAGCTGCGAGGGCACACTTCATTTGTAACCGACGTACGATATATTGAAGACACTAATCAAGCGGTAAATATTTTTTAATTTCGAACCATCATCATCTTCAAAACACGCTTTTGCCACATATCATAAAAGTTGTGATCTTTGCGCATGATCTCTGCGCCACAAATTATTATTAACTGTGACTGCTAAGAACTATTACATTCTCTTCATGACGTTTTACTCCATGACCATTGTTCATTTCACCGCTAGATTTTTCATTTTTTTTCGCTTTTAGGCGAAAATCAGCTCATTAAAATTCTCTTTTCGTCATAAATGACACTTCTAACACTTATTTTTTTCACAATTTCGGTTTTCATAACGTATAATCATAAAGATTTTGGATATAGCATGCATCCGCAATCTATTGACGGCAATGGGAATGCGTTTTGTTTCCGATCGTTTAGCTATAGGCAGAATCCGATTCGTTTGCTTCTGGCGAAAAGACATGCAGCGTAGTCCTCATCCTAAGGCTGCAAATGGTCTGAGTGGAGCTGCAGGGTTCCCTTTAACGTGAAAGTTTCTGTCATGGTCTTGGGACACTTCCGAGAGTGCAATTATGTGACCTTCACGCCCGATATTATCTTTTTCTCTCGATATACAATTTTTGGCGAGAACAAATTGCGAAGCGATTGCGTCGCAATTTGATCTCGCCAACCCATGAATTAATTTGCAGCATTCTGTCCATCTTTCTGAAAGGAAAGGGTAATGTCGATATTCGGGAATTTTTTAGTTCAGTGTAGTTGATGCCAATGATTCTAACATTGAAAGAATTTCATGCGAATAACAACACGAGCCCTGGATTTACTACAATTCTGAATTTTTGTAGTTTCTTATTTCACTTGATAAGAGGTCGTGGCATTTCCCCACCATTTTGCTTCACAAGGTGCTCTTTTTCTTGGACTCTTTCTTACTTAAATCAGGCATTTCCATAAAAAATTTACTTCTTTCTCTTCTCACTGGTGCTTGCAAGTCTTATATTCACAAAATTTATATAACTTCTCACAGTACATTCCTAGGACTAGCCTATTTATCTCCCCCTACCGATCCGTACTGCAGTGTTATTTATAGATCTCTTCCTCTGCCGACGGGACTCTGCGTGTTTGGAATTTGAAAACAGCGGAATGCGCCACCACGTTCCGAATTGCTGGAGATACTCCCGTAAATTCCGTTACTCCCATTCCGAAAACTGATCAAGTCATTGTTTGCAACCGATCTAATACCCTTTACATTGTCAATCCACAAGGACAGGTAATATTCTGATAGATTGACAAATGATAACTTTTCTCACTTTGACTGTTTAAGGTCGTACGAACAATGACGTCCGGTAAACGTGGAACGGAAGGAGAATTCATCGCTTGTACCGTTTCGCCACGTGGCGAATGGGCATATGCGGTTGCCGAAGATGGCGTTTTGTACTGCTTCCCCATGCTTACTGGTGTTTTGGAAAGTACACTTCCGGTCAGTATACTTTTCTTCACTTTTTGGCTCTATCTAGAACTGTTTGAAAGTTTTGCATCCTCCCAAAGTTTTTATGTTTTTGAAAGTTTTTTCTCTTATGCTTATGATTCTGTATGATCCTCAATAATCTCGTTTCATTGAATGTGATTATATCCTTACGTGATTCTTGCAATGACGAGTCGAGAATTTAGGAGTAGTGTAGATTAGCATCAGAACCTCCATTGTTACCCGATTATCCTTTTTGAATATCAATCAGGTAGCAGTCTTCCCTTTGTTGTGTCCTAGCAACAGAAGATGAACAAATACATTATACACGGGCTAAGCTGGCAATCGCTTGCGTTAAACTTGCATTTTTTATACGCAGCTCGACCTTGTGCACAAAAAGGTGTAACTTACGTGTAACTCACTTGCAGAGATAGCAACTCTTTCAGCTGTAGACCACAACTTTTTGCGATCAGTGGTGCTGCGCTATTCAAAAAGAAAAATGAAAAAGGAGTGCTCGTAAAATTTGTGTTATTTCTCATAACTTCCATTTTTGTTGCGCTTTTCATGTGGAGAGTATACGTATTAGTTTGCAGAAATCGACGGATTTCGGTGAGATGAATGCTAACAATTTTCAAAATAACGTTTTTCCTCTTATATATTTGTAAAGCGCAACTGATGTCTATAAAATCACCTTTGATTTATCCTAACCTACAGTCTTGTGCACTTTCTTATTTATACTACTACCGCCTTTCAGGTCAGCGAGAAGACCGTACTCGGCTTGGCTCACCATCCAAACCAGAACTTGATTGCCACCATCTCAGAAGATACACTTTTGAAGCTCTGGAAGGACTAATTGATCTCTCTGTTGTTTGTTATCTCATCTTCTTTCACATTCAATGTGTTTTATAATAAATTCCAACTCAGAAATAATTCCTGGAATGTTCAGAGTATGGATCATTCCCATTGCTCCGTTATGTTTGTACAGTGCTGTGCAGGCGTTCAAATAAGCAGATAGTCTTCTTCCTCTTTGGCCTAATGAGAATTTTTTTGGTCGCGAAACGCACCTGTTTTGTTAATTTTTTGATTTATACGCATTCGTTATGTGAGTGGGTTGTTAGTATTTTTATATATAATAAATGATAAAAATTATATGAGAATTGCTTTTCTGAATGAGTTCAACTACTCGACATGTCTTTTCCGCTTCTGTATGTATGTGTGCAAAATTTGGGAAGGGATGACGTGTACGTTCAAACTGCACTTTATTTTAGCATTGGTCGAACGGTTCGCGGCTACTTCGATATTTTTTCGCGCTTGTCGATTAATCTTCGACGCCGTAGGAAGGTAGACGTTATAGAAGGTGAGTCGTTTCATTAATTCTGTAGCTATACGGTTCTAAACTGTTGCTATTTGTTGAAACTTGAGATTTTTCAAAAATTTTCGAGTGTTTTCAACCAGACAATCAATGCTAATTTATCTGATTTACTCGGTATTTTCTATTCTTGCACTAATCGTTACGCGTTGATGCGTTCACTTATCACCTAATCGCTTTGCTATCATTGCGTCTTGGCTTTGAATGATTTTGAGTTGCTGTAGTGTTTCTTTTTGTCTGTGTTTGCCTTCTTCAGCTAATTTACGTTTCTTTTCGTGATTTTCTTTCTGTATTCGTCTTCCTCTTCGGAAGGGCAGTGCTAAGATGTCCTACTTTCAAATTTTCTTGCTACTCTTTGAAGCGCGCACACGAATGCTAGTTTTTGGGTCAAGCAAGTCTCCGCTCTAAACGTGATCGATCAATCTCCGAACGTCGTGTAGTTATACACGATGGACGTTTGTCGAGCGCCGATATCAAAATGTTCTTTTCCCACATCCCACGAATATGCGTAAATCGCGTTTTCAATCACAATTGCCGTCTAAATTTGATCGATTTTTGTAAATGTTTGTTGAAAGACTGGTATCTCGCTGACAGTTCTATTTTTCCACGTTTTCGTAAAACTTGCTGAATACATCCCCATTACGTATAGGATGAGCTTCGTATAATGACGCGTGGCGGAGTGCAAAAACTTTCTGACCTCGACGCGTGGAATGGCCGTTCATTTTGTTCCTCGTCGTTGTAGTGTACTGCTTCACTTTACAATTCGAGCTTACGAAGCAAATTTTGTTCTTAGAAATTCTTCCGAAGCGAAGCTACATAGAAATGCCCATGCCCGTATTCTTATATAGTTATTCCAATTCTCATTTTTTATTTTCTCCATTTATCCCAGTATTCAATTTTTTCACATTTCAATGTTGCCGGGTATTTAACCACCCACCGCTTTTGCTATCTTCTTCCGCATCTCGAAGTTCTTTTTTTCTTTTCCAACCCTTTAGCAAACCCCTGTCTTTCAGCAGCTTTTATTTCAATCTCATCTCTCATCTTCCCATACATCTGCCGACATATCTAGATCTCGCTACTTTTTGAAATGCATCTTCTCATGTCAGTGGGAAGCAATACGATTCTCCGTCCATTTGATCTCAGCGATCCTAAAACATTTTAAGGCTTTCTTTTAAGATTTTCTTTTTACTTTAGAAAGACTGTCAGTACTTTTTGAAAAATTGCTCTAAATCATTCAATTTTTTTCGGTGCATCTTTTGGATGCGAATTTGAAAAATTTGAAAACAATATCTCTGCCGTTTTTGCCTTTTCTAGGTGCGTCAGGTCTTATTTATGCTTCCTCTTGAAACTGTGATTCTTTCAACCTAAAGGTCAGGTTAAAAAATGTCGCTTTTTGAGTTTTTCCAGCTAAACCCGTGTGTCTCAGCAACTAAAGCATTTACAAGGCTGAAATTTCAAGGGCATAGTTTCAAGGTTTGTAGTTTACAGTTGCATGTATGGGAGGAGCCCGGGACTGCGGGGCGGAGTTTCCCATTTTCGTTTCAATTTTTTCTTGGTTCTACGGAAAATACTATAAGTAGTTTACATAAAATCAGTACATATGTCTATTATTAGGTTGTAAAGAAAGTTCCCGGACATTTTTGGGATTTTTTGGCGCTCATGCCTGAGATAATCATGCACAAACAGGCCATTTTTCGCGTCGATCTTTTCCCCTTTTACGCATGCTGGTGGACCGCAATGAGGCGCTGGAAAGCGAACAAGACGAACATTTGTTGCAGATGAAATTGTCATCGCAAAGAAATTTGAAGCTCTGAAAAACAATCTGCTCGAAATTACAGCGATTTGAAAATTTTTCGCAAGTGCCCAGGAACTTCCTTTACCACCTGATACATGCAGGAGCAAGTGAGAGGATTTTTGGGGGCAAAAATTCGACTTTGACATAATGAGCTGCTCTTATGTTTAATTTGTAAATTTGCCCAAATCACGATTCACGTCAAAGTTCGAAAGTCATCTTTTAGAGTTTACATTGCTTCGAATGGTCCCCACGCATATTTTTTTGAATTTGTTCTATTGCCTTGCAATGAAAAATGCCATTCTTTTCTTTTCGACCCATTAAAGCGAGATTTCCTTCTATGTATATTGGCTTATTTGCATCTTCCTGCCATCTTCAAGCTTCTTTTTCTTTCTCAATTTATTCCGTCTTGCATAAATGCAACAGTTTTATACGATATAAAAATAGACATGAGCGTTTTCAACGTGGCTTTCCCGTGTACTTTTTATGTCACTCCCAATAAAACACCCGTATAGCTCAGCTTTCTATCGCTGTTGTCAATTTCAGCTCCAATATTGTGCCATAGCTATAATTTTCTCGTGCGATATTATGATATTAAGCGCCTATTCGCCGGCAGGCTGCTGCTGAATTAATACGCCTTCAAATATGCAATATTTTTCCATAGCCCCTATAGCTTGCAAGTGTAGGCAAGCCTTATTTTCCACATTGCTATCTGCTTCAATTTGCAATCTGTGTAATACGATATTTGTATTTCCTCTACGTTTTTTTTTCTGCTGATGACAGGAAATACATTATTTCTTGGAGTAATCCATTTCCTGGTCAAGTCTGTTTTGCGCGTAGTGTTTACATTGCAATGAAGGAACGAGCTAGCGCTATGTGATTTCACTCGCTTACAAGAGTTTTTGTGAACGGATATCGTTGCGGAAAACTACCTATTATTTTTTTGTGTTAGCCTGATTTATCAGTTTTATCGAGAATGAAGTTTCAAGATTCTTCACCAGGAAATGTATTTCTAAGGTGATATCGCTATGTCTATGTCCGTATGTTTGTGTAAATTTATGTAGAATTTATGACGCTATCGATTTCGAAATCTTTTCACATCGTTCCTTCATCGCATGCGTTCATATCATCAACTAGAATAAAAAAATAAATTCTGTAGTAGGAACTCCACTTTTTACCATGTGCTACTTTACGGAAATTTTTCAAAAAGATATCTCTGGAGCATCATACATCACCAAGAATTTCCTGGTTGCGCAACTCTAATTCTTTCAAGACATTATCTTCATCGTGATAGATGTTTATCTAAGCCTATTTCCATGCATTTATGATTTCTGCTAAAAGAAAATAATTTGTATGCGAATTATTCTTACTGTAATGGTCGTCTACTTATCAACACAAATCCGTCCTAATGATGCATATTTGCAGTACTTCTATCTATGTGAAAATCTATCATAAGCGCGTTATTTTTTGTTTTCCTAATCAGTTCAACTCTATTTCTAGATTATAACTGCCTTTGAAATTGGAAACCAAGCTCTAAAATCTTCGCAAAAGAGTTTTGAATATCTACACCAGAATTTCTGCAGTTTTTTCGAGTAGATCAAAAGATTAATACACATTATCCTGTTAGCAAATCTGTAGAGATGTATTCCTTTTGTTTCTCTGATTTCTGCGCTATTTTGCTTGTTCATCGTCAGCTCCGTCTTCCTTAGGGTCCGATCGATTTCAAATGTGCTGAATTAAAATCACCTTATATCATTGCATTAATCTGGAGTGGGAAAATACAGATTTTCTGTCAGAAAAGGCACTGTATTAACTAAGGATCATCAGGTTTTTTCAAAAACGAGAGCACAATATTGTTTGTAGAAATATTAGAATGTGATGGGATCTTTTAGCTGTCCGCGATATTTTTTACAAATCCTGTAGGCCTATTTTCAAAGTCACTCTTTTCTGTTCAATGAGTGAAAAAGTATATGCATGGCGCGACACAAAAACAAAATTGCTCCCCACTTGCCACAAAACAATAGACGTGGTTTGTTTTTTTGTATCTGTTCTGTCAGGCTGTCCATTATACTCGCATTCATTCCGTGAAATAGTTGGTGTAACGTCATTCGTATAGATTTTATCGAATTTGTAGCGATCGCAAATGGACAACAAGCTATGCGCTGTCATCCTTATACCAGTTTAACTGACTATCATATTTCAATTCCAGAACAGTCAGTCATTATTTTGGTTCTATAGGGTAAATGGCTAATTTCTTCATTTCAGTTGTTTCGTTTTACATCTCCAGCGCTTAAACAACTCGCTCATGCTCCTTTTTATGTCAGCCAGTCTTTCCCTCATGGCCAACGATTATGAAGCTGTGCCAACAGATTTGACATCTGTTTGTGAATTTTCTTCAATAGTCTGCATTGAAAGTGAAACTCTTAAATCTGTTTCCTTTGTTGTGATTTGTTCAGCTTTATCATGTAAGCAGACAAACTAATTCGTTCCTTCGCGGGGAGATCATTCCTGAAGAAAAATAGAAAGAAGAAAGAAAAAAAGGAGGTGGCAAGAAACAAAACAAGTGCAGGAAAAGTAGACTGAAACTGAAGTGCTACTCTTGTCTTTCAATATCGCGGAAATGAGATGTTGATTTTGAAAAATGAGAAATTTCTCTCGAAAGTTCTATTTTGGCACTACTTATTATTAAAAATCTCTGTGTAAACTATTTTTCTGGTTAATTCCTTGTCATCAGAAAAAGAAGGACTTTTACAGACTTTACTTCTCATCTTTGAAATGCAGTACTTTAAAGAGACTTATTTATATTAACTCATAGAAATCCCATTTTGCCATTGCCTTTGCTAAAAAAAATTTTTTTGTTTGTTGATATGAATCTTCCTCTATGCATTGTACAATGCTTTTTGAGATTACTGCTTTACTTTTCCATTATAAGTTTATAGATAACCGCATTTAGTCATTTTCTTTCTGATGTCAAGTGCTTTACTTGGTCGTGATGATGTATGCTCACTTCCGCATTTTCTGCGCCCACCCATGTACTGCATTCATCCTTTTAACGTCAAGCGGCAATTATTCGTCAAGAATGGCACAAATCAAAGAGCTACCACTTTTGGCTCTTCCGGAAGGCTTTTAGCCTTATGTCCCTACTTTTCTTAGCGAGAGACTATATTACCAGAGTGCAGAGCGTTGGAGCAAAAGGCAAAAATGCCAGAGTCGTGCAGAATTCAATGGTGGCATTTGCAGTTTTAATGGAGTTTTGTATGTTTAAGCTGCTGTGAAAGCGAGCAGTGAAAGGAACAACATAGTTTTGGATGATAGTAGTTCGGGAAATACAAGAGACCATAATATGCCTGATTTTGGAGTCTGTGATGTGTTTTGTAATTCGCGACTTTTGATTTTTAAAAGTGATTTTTGGGTTTGACGAAATCTGAGATGGACACTCGTAGCTTACAGTTCTTTACAGTCTTCAGCACTTCTAATGGATATTCGGTTTTCCGAGATTTAGTAGGGTGAAGTAGGTCGACGGCGTTTAATATCATATCAAGTTTTTTTGAGGCTCTTCGGAAACTGTTTGAGATAACATCATGGGAGGAATTTAGAAATTGCTAGAGTTCCAAGAAACATTACCTTACCCCCATTTTTCCATTTCTGCTTCAGGATATCAAAGCCAGAATTTATTTTGGGAGCCTTTTCGAGCACCAAACTTGGCTATGCCACTCTTTTTATGCTTAAAAAGTCATGCATGACATTGCGGTTCAACGATTTGCGTGGTTTCAAATTCAAATGTTAGCTTTTTTGCTTAGAAAAACATCCTGAATGTGTATTCAAGCGAGAAGTGCGAGTGGATGTAATCTAATAATTGTCAACGTTTCTATATTTCATGGGTGTTGGATACTTTTTTCAAGTCGTTATATCGCGATATCGCGATATCGTAAATCTTATTTAATTGACGTTCTGGAAGATTCGTTGAAGCTAAGTTTGTGCAAAACATTTCCATTTCCTTTCAGTATCACTTTTTGACGAAATGCCAGAAGATACACGAATTCTCACGCATAGGTGAATGCTTTGGAATTGAAAAAGAAAACTAATCTTTTTTGGTCGATGGTACCACAGCTATGGTTAAGGTTTGGTATCTTTTTCATATAGCTTTTGAAGAGACATTATAATCTAAAAATCAAATTTTTCCATGGTTTAGTGATTAGAGTTTAGATGTAGTTGATTTTGGTCGTAAAATCGAACTGAAGCAGAATGATTGACGGGATACCAATAACGCGATGTTTTCGTGAAATGTGATATTCCATTGAAACTATAATTTGCATTTCAAACAGTGAAATTTCAACTATCAACTATATTTTATGGGTGTTGGATACTTTTTCAAGTAATTTATTCGCGATATCGCTATATCGTGAATTTTTATTCGATTGACGTTCTATATATTTTTGAAGCGAAGTTTGTGCCCAACATTTCTGTCTCTGAATAGCCAGCAGTATCTCCAGTGAAATTTTATACCTTTTTGGTCTAAGTGGTTGGACTCTAGGTAGCGCCTATGCTCCCCATGTAGTATAAGGAGTACGAATACGATTGAGAAGCCATAAGAACACTAGATAAAAGTACAAAAATTTTATAGCGTCTGACCTAAACATTGTATTGTGATATGCGTATTCAGCGAAAAAAGGTCACTTCTCGTACAATCTTATAATTTAAGCTTCCGTAATTGTTACTCTAAAGCTCACCGTGCCTTTCCTTTGCTTCTGTTCGGCCTGCAGAAGTCGATTTAATTTGTGTTTCTATCGGAGAGCAAGGTTTCATAGTTTATTCATGTGATTCGCGTTCGCTTTTCCGCATCCGCATTGCCTAATTGTTCGGCATTTTGCATTTAAGCGCTCGGTAAATGTATAATATTTAGGGCGTAATAGATTAGCCTTTTTTTATTTTGTAGCAAGGGGGGAGGGGGAAGTGGAAAGTTTGCAAGTTCCAGCCAAAGCCCTTTCACATCTTAGCCCCAACTAATTTGTCATAACCTAGCCTCTGTCCATCTCATCTGTGCTGTTTTTTTCATTGCCCTCTGATGGATCTTCATTAAGACGTCTGCACACAGCGAATTGTAATGCGCTTTTGCTAAAGCTGTCCCTCTCAGTAGCTAGTTCTTTCTCTCATTCCACGCCTATTGCCCTCGTATAGCTGTCACATTCGATTTGGCTCTTACTCAGCTAAAATGTATTGCTGCGGGGCGGCCGCTTATTTAGCGCTGAAGGTGTCAAATGGCTAGAGTGCGTGTTTTTCGAGGCACCACCTGCGTAGCGGAGAAAAAAGCTCATTTTATCAAATTGCCTGCGGTTGATTTTGAAACCTGAGGCGGTTACATCTTGTTTGGAAGTTATTTTATCGAGTTGATAAACAGTCTGCGGCAAATGTGCGTTCTGCTTGGACTTCTTATGTAAACACTGATTGGAAGGTGTCAACTAAGCTATGCCCAAGCGGTAGCTTTTATGATTCGTTCATGGCCGAGAAATTTAACTCTAAACTCCAGACCGGACCGTACTGCGCGTACAGAGGGTACGGTCTGGATTGAAGTTTAGAGTTTGATTTCTCTACCAAGAATGATTAATATGAGCAGCCGCTTATGCAATAGTTTAGTCAAGGTCTACTAATAAGTTTCCACATAAAAAGTCCAAGCTGCCCAGATCAGCCAGAGTAGTGTCTTTTATGCTCGAATGATACATTGCGAAGCAGCTTTTCAATTTTTGGTCCCTGTTTTACAGAATACTAGCTGGCTTACCCGGCTCCGCCGTATCCGGACCAAACTTGGCACACATACACTTCGGGCCCCGGCGGGTGTCACAGTCCACTTTTCGTTATCGATCGATGTCGATTTTACCGATTTTTATCGATTTTTTTGCAGAGTTCACCTACAGGGCTAGGAGTTGGCACAGGGGGGAAGTGAGCATGGAGATTCCGAATACAATATTAGTTTTCAGGATCGTCCATTACTTTTATCGATTTTATCGATTTTTTTTGTGAAGTTTGACCTGCGAGGCTGGGATTTTGCACAGGGGGGTAATCGAGCATGCTGATTACGAACACAATATTAGTTTTCAGGATCGTTTATTACTTTTATCGATTTTATCGATTTTTTTTGTAAAGTTTGACATGCGGGGCTGGGAGTTTGCACAGGGGGGTAATCGAGCATGCAGATTACGAATACAATATTAGTTTTCAAGATCGTCCATTACTTTTATCGATTTTACCGATTTTTTGAAAATTTGAGCTAGGGGACTGGAATTTGGCACAGGGGTGTAATCTAGCATGCTGATCACCCCCCTTGGGGATGATCAGCATGCTCGATTACCCCCTGTGCCAACTCTCAGCCCCCTAGCTCAAACTTTGCAAAAAATCGATAAAATCGATAAAAGTAATCGATAATCCCGAAAACCAATATTGTTTTCGGAATCCCCATGCTCGATTACCCCCCTGTGCGAACTCCCAGCCCCGTAGCTCAAACTTTGCAAAAAAATCGATAAAATCGATAAAAGTAATCGATAATCCTGAAATCCAATATTGTTTTCGGAATCCCCATGCTCGATTACCCCCCTGTGCCAACTCCCAGCCCCGTAGCTCAAACTTTGCAAAATAATCGATAAAATCGATAAAAGTAATCGATAATCCTGAAAACCAATATTGTATTCGGAATCCCCATGCTCGATTACCCCCCTGTGCCAACTCCCAGCCCCGTAGGTGAACTCAGCAAAAAAATCGATAAAAATCGATAAAATCGATATCGATCGATGACGAAAAGTAGCCTATGACACCCGCCGGGGCCCGTAGTGTATGTGTGCCAAGTTTGGTCCGGATCGGTTCAGAAATGGAATTTTCTATTCGGAACATACGTACACACAGACATACAGACAGACAGACATACAGACAGACATACAGACAAACAGACATTCAGCTTTATATATAAGATTGCAGAACTTTTTCTGTTTTTAAGCCTCATTTGGAGCAATTCAGCGTCCTTCAAATGATTTCTTTGGATTTCATCAAGTGTGCCTAGTCTTTAGAAGAATTAGTATGATTCAATGGCTCATTTTTGATGTTTTCAAGCGAATCGGGAGACATTTTCATTCCCTGTGCGCTGTAAAGCTACTTATCTAATTCTTATATCTTTTCACGAAAACCTATGCCTTACTCTTTTTTTGATTCGGATGAACGGACTTCATGTAGAGGTTTCATGCAAACCTTTTTCGTTCAGACTATTAGCATCGAAATTCGAAACCTTATTTCTATTGAATCTGTTTCGAAATCCTATTTCCTGTTTTTAATGCTGCTCTTAATGGTGCTCAGTGTCTCTTTCAGTTGCAAGTTTTTTACAATTTCAAATCTCCAAACAATCTATGCGTTCTATAGTTAATACGCTGAAATTGAGTAGTTAGGATGCAGTTTATTCCATTTGAGTCCCGAGTTCATCCATATTTCTACACGATACAGTCATGTTTGTTATATCTTTCAGTTTATAGACTCGAGACTCGAAACGAGAAGCTGTTTCAGCTACAACTAAAGGGTTGAGAAACCATTTTCTTTACTCCTCTCAATTCTCAATGCTCTAGCTTCTTATCAGCTTATCTAGAAAGATTCTAATTTCTGTGATTAGGCTCTTATATTCATGCTTTTGCACTTTCATCTGGTTCACGAGTACTTTTCTGGTCGTTAATGCATCAAAGCTTCTCTTCATCTCATCTGAGGTTATTCGCGAGATTAAAACCATTGGTGCGAGTAGTTCGTTTCACGTTCTTAATTACTAGTCACGAGCAAATATAGAAGTAGAACGATCGGTTGCTTGAGGCGTATGCGAAAGGTTACTGCTCTCAACATACTCATTACATGAGCGAGGATTTTCTGGAGATGTATAAGTACAAAATTGGTAAAATTTCAAAAGTTTATTGATATAAATTTTTTGTCCACACTTCTCTCTAACTAACTCAGAAAAGCTTTAAGCTGAACTTCATATTTGGTCTTTTTGAAGTGCAAGATAATCACAACGTAATCCTTTTCGTCTTCTTGATTCAAGAACTAGCTGCATGTTAAAAAAGGTATGCAAAATTGAAAAAAAAGGATTTCTATAGCTTGAATGTACCCTTCCTTACTGGCTGTACTCTGCTATGAATATTTTCATAGATTTATTAATGTGTACTTTTGATGTATAGTAGTTATTTTGAAAATATCCATTAGCATGTAGTCATTTTGATCGTTTACATTGGGTTTTTCTGCACATTTTCGAATATTTTCGGAACTTCTGCACCAACCTTGCGAACTATTTGCAGCAATTGTAATAGATTGAAGAACTTTTTTCTTTCAAATGGACCTACTTGACGAACTGGTTTGGCTAGTTTTGCAGCTGCGCTAGAACACTTATAGCATCCATTCTTAGTGAACTTTGCTAGTAGACAATTTTCTTCCAGCTTTTTTTTTCACTTTACTCAGTAGAATGCTTTTCAGAGAGTTTTCCTGACTTCTCATTAGCTTGATTATAATGTAGAAATCTTGAATTACCATCTACTTTTTATAGTAAGACGAAGCTACAAAAAATGTCTATGGACTCGACTATCAACTCACTGCACGGCAGACCACTTCTTTGTCCATTTTGCCTCTTCAGATTGCGTCAATATTTTCACAATACATATTGTTCTCACGATTGCTTTTTGCATTTCTATTGTAGGGCGAGCAAACGTGGCTATGAAAAACATCATGGTGAAAGATAGCATATGCAAATTTGATGGCATAATCCTGCGTGAAAACATTTTCCGAGCTGCAGCGTTTTTTGTGATGCAATGCGCATTTGTTGGAAAGAATCGAATAAGATGTATGCTACTACGTATGTCACTGTCAGTGATTACTATTGCTAAAAATCAACCAGTAAAGTCACCCAACGTCACCGGAGTTCACCGAAATCCGCGTCGCATCGCCATATCTTGGTCCAGAGTAGACAAATAATAAATTCAAGGGAACCGTCCGACTTGCCTCGGCAAGACGCACCTTCTCATACGTAGGGGTGCCCGTTTGAATCCGGTAGATGCTAGCCGGTCAATTTGCACTAATCTTTTCAGATTTTTGTTTACGGTAAGTTACACAGTGTGCTTATTCATTGCGCACAGATCCACCTACCGTAGGCACAAGCAAAATCTGGCCACCTACCGTATCCAAAAGGGCATTCCTATATATCAGAAGATGCGAGTTGCCAGCCGAACGGTGCGCTTGAATTCGGAAATTCGTCTATTCTGAACCAAGATATGGCGATGCGACGCTGATTTCGGTGGACCCTGCTGGAGTTCTGTGGCTTTTTTGTCGAATGAGCGGCATTATACATTAGGCTCTTATTGAATATTTCTATGTATATGATGATTCAATGATTCTTCTTGCTTCATAGCTTCCTGACGTCTGGATTACGCAAATTGTGTAGCTTCTTTGTTCCGGATAATAGATTCCTTTTTCTGATTTCTTAAGCTTGAATTAAAAGCATATGACGCGTGATATAATGCATTATACAGGGTGTCCCAAAAAAATGTATCGAACGTTTGATCGTTAATATCTCTCTTCTAAAGAAGTCTTCTCTTGCTTCAGGCACCAATCTGTAGAGCTGGCTTCAACTTAGATTTGCAGTATGGAACGAATCACTCATTTCTCTTCGTTACTGTAGGATTACGGTAGAAACTTCAAGGAGGGTTTTAAGCAATGAAAGGTCATATTTTGCCCCAGAAAGGAAACAAAACAGCCTGAAAACTTTTACACTAGGCTAATTAGAGTTGCTGATTTTAACTGTAAAGTTCTCAACTTATTATGATGCTTCATTGAAGAGTTATGCCAGGTAAGAGGTAGCGGCCATTTTTTCAAAGTTCCTAAAAAGTGCGGTTACACCGTCTAGAAAGCTTCGTAATCATGTGAATAGTTGAGTATTGAACTCGGCGTCCACAAAAACCCTATTACACAATTTTTCACAATTTTTTGAAAATTTTTGAAACGGCAGCTTTTTTCACATTGACATCATATGTTTCAAGTTTCTACCGTAATCCTACAGTAATGAAGAGAGATTGGTGATTCGTTCTATAATCAAAATCTAAGTTGAAGCCAGCTCTACAAAACGGTACCTGAAGCAAGACAAAAAACTTCTTGGGAAGAGAGATATTAACGATCAAACGTTCAATACATTTTTTTGGGACACCCTGTATATACACCTATACTGTGCGAATTATCATCTACTATAAGCCTTAAAGTCATCTTTGCCTGCCTTTGCACTCTGCCATAAAAATAACGTCATTTCCTATTCATAGCCTAGTTTCTTTGGAAACGCATGCTGCTGCTGCTGCTCGCTGACGCGTAGAAGCCACATTGTCGTAAAAAGCTCCGTCATAAATGTGCAATTGTTCATATTCAAATGGCGTTTTTTGGAGTGAAATTTTGCACACAAAAAGTTACGGTAGGAATTCACTCTGTTTTTTTTTGCATCTGAGTGCGATGTCGAGACAATCTGCATTGGGCTCCTTATGTAGATTGTACTGATTCTGAGGTCTTGGCTAAAGCATAGCCTAGCAGGCAGCTTATACGATTCATTCGCGGCTGAAAAAGTCGACTTCAGAGTTTAGCCCAGACCGTGTTTTTTTTTGAATGGGCCAATCAGCGCCCTTGAGTACGGTAGAAAGTACGATCTGGGCTCACGCTTAGAGTTGAATTTCTCGGACACAAATGAATCGTATAAGTTGCCGCTTGTTTCATGGCTTAGTTGAACCCTTCTGTTCAGTATCTACAGGAAAAACCCAAATACTAGGATATCTCTATCCCTGGACACTAATTTCGAAGCAACAAACATGTGTTGCTTTCCAAGTTTACGTACATTTATGGTGCATTTGATTTGAAAGCTTAGAACATGAATAATTTTGTGAATCATCAAATATGGACACGTCGTTACCATTAGGAGTTTTAAATGCTGAAATTAACTGATTTCCGGTTCTGAACATTTGCGCCTGATTTGTCAAGAAGTTCTCCTCCTTTTAGGCACTTGAGCGAGCAAGTTCTTATTCGTCTGTTTTTTCCGGTCAAATGAGAAAAACTGTACTGTAGCATGGGTCAAATATAGATAATTCGTGGCATTTTTGCCAAATTTTTTCTCCCATAGTCGTGAATGCTTCATGGCTTGCTCAGTGTATTTTCCGATTATTAAATCAGTTCCACTTAGTATGCAATCATCAAAACAAGATGTTGTTATTGTTTTTTGACTGTCTCATTAAATACGAACAGGTGATTGTCATTGTTTTTGTGACGAGCTTTATAAGCAAATAGGCACGTAATCATAGCCAGTTTGGATACTCAAAACAAATTAGAATAAATTAGATTTAAATCAATTCATTTTGTTGTCTCGACTTCGACTTCCGTCATAAATGAAAAGGGTTGAAGATTTTTACCTCATTACTTGTCTTCCACAGTGTTTTGCCTTGCGTAGGTCTATTTTGGAAGTCCTCGTTAAGGAAGAAATGTTTCTGTCCTCTCCTAATTTAGTGAGGTTGATGATTTAGATCTAGTTTTTTAGTCTGGTTTTGCGTAACAAGCTTTAGCCTCATAACCTTATACTTTTTGGTTTCGTTTGCGTACGTTCTTTGTAGGAGCATTGCTCCTTAGTTGTAAATAACGTTATCACATGTGATTATTACGATTTATGACGGTTTTTTACGTAATCCTCAAGATATCTTATTTTTTGTCGAAAGCATGCTGGAATTTTGCCTTTTTGCTTGGCGAATAAGGTAAAACTTCGGAAGGATCTATAAGTGTAGTTTCATAACTTCATCTGGGTTTAAATCAGTGTTTACCAGCGCAATAATTGTACGCATTCTTCGAGTACTCTTAAAATATGTTCCTACTACTCCAGTACGATTTTTTAGTTGAAAACACGACTTGCAATGTATTTATTAATGTATACTAGCTGGCTTACCCGGCTCCGCCGTATCCGGACCAAACTTGGCACACATACACTTCGAGCCCCGGCGGGTGTCACAGTCCACTTTTCGTTATCGATCGATGTCGATTTTACCGATTTTTATCGATTTTTTTGCAGAGTTCACCTACAGGGCTAGGAGTTGGCACAGGGGGGAAGTGAGCATGGGGATTCCGAATACAATATTAGTTTTCAGAATTGTCGATTACTTTTATTGATTTTATCGATTTTTTGTAAATTTTGACATGCGAGGCTGGGATTTTGCACAGGGGGGTAATCGAGCATGCTGATTACGAACACAATATTAGTTTTCAGGATCGTCCATTACTTTTATCGATTTTATCGATTTTTTTTGTAAAGTTTGACCTGCGGGGCTGGGAGTTTGCACAGGGGGGTAATCGAGCATGCTGATTACGAACACAATATTAGTTTTCAGGATCGTCCATTACTTTTATCGATTTTATCGATTTTTTGAAAATTTGAGCTAGGGGGCTGGAATTTGGCACAGGGGTGTAATCGAGCATGCTGATCACCCCCCTTGGGAGTGATCAGCATGCTCGATTACCCCCCTGTGCCAACTCCCAGCCCCCTAGCTCAGACTTTGCAAAAAAATCGATAAAATCGATAAAAGTAATCGATAATCCCGAAAACCAATATTGTATTCGGAATCCCCATGCTCGATTACCCCCCTGTGCGAACTCCCAGCCCCGTAGCTCAAACTTTGCAAAAAAATCGATAAAATCGATAAAAGTAATCGATAATCCTGAAAACCAATATTGTATTCGGAATCCCCATGCTCGATTACCCCCCTGTGCCAACTCCCAGCCCCGTAGCTCAAACTTTGCAAAAAAATCGATAAAATCGATAAAAGTAATCGATAATCCTGAAAACCAATACTGTATTCGGAATCCCCATGCTCGATTACCCCCCTGTGCCAACTCCCAGCCCCGTATGTGAACTCAGCAAAAAAATCGATAAAAATCGATAAAATCGATATCGATCGATGACGAAAAGTAGCCTATGACACCCGCCGGGGCCCGAAGTGTATGTGTGCCAAGTTTGGTCCGGATCGGTTCAGAAATGGAATTTTCTATTCGGAACATACGTACACACAGACAGACAGACAGACAGACAGACAGACAGACATACAGACAAACAGACATTCAGCTTTATATATAAGATATTCACAGAGAAAGCAGACAAAACTACTTCCTTTCAGAATCGCTTAAGCTATTCCTAGAAACTTGTTTTACCTTTTGTGGTGGAAAATTTTAACATTTACCGGGTTCTTCACCTGTTAGGGACGAGGCTAGGTCTTACGTGCTGCCCGTTTCCCTCAGCTCCCCCTTAGAAACATTGCCGTTCTCAAAACATAATGTTAAACATTTCCATTTCGCTATGATAATGCACGGCTTCGTTACGAGAAATCATGAATCGAAAGATTCATGACAAAATATATTTGAAAATCAAAAACCTAAGACTACTGTTTAGGTATCAGCTTGTATCTGCTTACTTATGCGAAACTTCTGCGAATTTTTTCTCTTTCTTCCTTAGTTGTGCACCTGTTTCATTGACGTAGTGGGTGATTGTTTCCTTGAATCATGATTTAATCTTGTCGAAACATTTGATATGCGCGCTAACAGGGTAAAACATAGTGGGTAAGATTGAAGGTGTTTCATTTTCAAGGTACATAGGCTCCAAAGCAAGCAGGATTGAAGTCGCGGTTGGTGCATTTCATATATTGCATGCCATATGAGAATTTGTGAAGACAGGTGCATAGCAACATGTCACATTGAATCACATTGCCCAATATATTTTGAATATTGATAGTTGTCACATAAAGGCAGTATCCTAACAAATCTAAGTGCCTGGATTCTTATGTGAAAGCCTATGCAAAGCCTTGTTTAAACCAATATCTGGACGGCATCGCATTTAATCCATTCGTGGCTGACATATTCATCCCCTAATTCCAGCCCAGACCGTAGTCTTTCCACGCGGACTACGGTCTGGTCTGGATTTCAGAGTTGGTTGTTGGCTACGAATGAGTCATATGGGCTGCCGCTTGGGGCAACTTGGATGAAACCTCTCAATAGTTTTACATATTAACCTAGGCATGCAGATTTTGACTGGATATGCTTTCACTTAAGAATTTTCTGAGATCTTAATCTTTTCGGAGCTCTAAAAGCGTTACAATCCCTGACGAGCATCGCTCTTCTTACTTATGGCCGTAAACTCATCTCTCAAATCCAGCCCGGACCGTGTTGCTCTAGCGGAATACGGTATGGTCTGGAGTTGAGTGTAGAATTTCTCGGCCAGTTTGAATCATATGAGCTGTTGCTTGGGCTACGGCCGGCTTAGCTAAAGCCTCCCAATCAGTACTTCATAGGAAATCTAGATGGTGTAGAATTTGCCCGGACACCGCTATTTTTTAAAATCTATATCTGAAATCCGAATTTTGAGAGCTTTAAGCTGTTCCAGGCCTCGATGATTCACGTCACTCTTCTTTCACTTGATTTCCTTTGAAGTCAAACCCTCTCGCGTATCTTCGACTCTCGTGTGTGTTTGTCGCTGTGTTAATGCGCATGTGCAAATCGCTTAAGTAAGTGTGTTTGTCAGACTCCGCCTCTTCTGCGATTTCTCGTCTTCCTGCCTGAGCTCGCGGCTCTGAGAGTGAGCGTGTCGACGTCCTCACTCATATATCTCTATCTACTCATGTCACATCACTACCAACAAATTAGTTGTTTTGTTGATCGATTGTAGCTGAGCTGTAGTCCTCCCTATAAGGACATCTGCTATGGATCCTAAGGTACATCCAGCGAAAGTAAGTTGCCTTTCATAGGATTAAAGCATTGTGAATTCGCGAATTTTGAGCACGAAAATTGATTGTGATCTGCCATTTGATTTTTTTCTGTAAATTTTATAGGTTGAAAAGTAAGAATTGGTCAGATTAGAGTCAACATATCAACTCGAGTGATTGCAAGGAAGCATTTGATGACCGAGGAATTCTCAAATTTTTGATAAAATTATTATATAAAAAAGAATAAAGCTAAAAGCTAAAAATTCATGGATGCCGGCTACTTCGGAGGATGTGATAATGTGTAGAAAGGTCGCTATTTCCTTTTTGATTTTTATTTGCGCAGCATTTTTAATTTTTTTCAATGACGCAGTTCCGCGAAATTCGCAGAGGTCAACCCTCTTTTTCCACCAAAAGAATACTGAAATTTCTTCTGTATCTGCTAAGAAAGAATTAGCTAAGAAATCCGAATGGATCAATAAACGATTACTTACAGCCATTTTAGTTTGGCATGGTCAGTACAAATTTGTATATGAGATGACCACATTTTCGCTTTTGCTCAATATAACGGTTTATTTTCTCTGCTATGCGCGGATATTTTTTTCGATTTCAATTTTTCATGAAGAAAATTTTTTCCCAAAATGTGAAAATCATGGAGCCTCTGTCTCATTTACTTTATTGATGAGTACGCAAAGTTGCTCGTTTGACGATAGTGCATTGGGAGGACAAAAGCATTATTTGCAAAATTAACGACGTGGATCATGGACTTTAGAGGTAAAACAAGGACAAAAGCGCATTTTAATTTTGTGCCTTAGAGATTAGATGTTCAAAATTTTGGTAACCCTTATGCAGCAAAAATTACGAACATGTTTTTGAAGTTTCCTTTTGCATCTACTTCTACATTGCTTTTACTCGAGTCATATTTGGTTAAATTACTTGCGAATTATTCAAGTTGAGTTTAAGTTGAAATTTCTTGCAATTTTTGACAAATTAGTCGTATTTGAAAAGATTCTCCTGGTTCTGAGTCACAACTGGACAATTTTCTGTCGCCCACATATGAACCTTCGATTGAACATCTGCACCATCTGGTGGCTGCCTTTGCAGCTCTTTTTTACGCCCAGCTTACGATGTAAGGGCGATCCTGCTTCCATCGCAAATGCATAGAATTTAGTGGCTAATCGCCATTAGTTAGAGTAGTTTTCTTTTTAGATACAAGTACAAAAAGAAGTACAAAAAATTGTGCATTTTTGTTACGTTGATGTCACAGTTTTGTCAGTGCTAGGGCTTGAACTTTTTATCGCCGTTATGTTGCGCATTTTTTGAGTCTTTTTTTTTTGAAATGATGGACTGCCCAATTGCCAAACATAACATCAAAAATGATGTGGTAATTATTTTCGCGGCATGACTAATTTTCAAATCTGCAAATATTCCTTTTGTTGACGTGGAAAAAACTCTCAAGTAGTTTGTAGTGCAAGGTAGTTGCAATTAAATGCTGTCGTCATTTGATGTGGCACTTTTGCACCTCGCAAAGATTGCTGTAGCCAAAATCTTTCAATCATTACTGCTCAGCAAACTGGTTGTTTCCATTTACTGGTCTGAGGAGATGATTAGGAACAAGAACTTTAGAGGGGCAAAATGAAGTTGCAAGGGTAGAAGGGAATTTTTCCTTGGAGAAATTCCTCTCAATGATAGAAATGTAAAGATTGGAGCATTTTAGCTTCCTAAGAATAAAAAATTTGAAATAAAGCAGGGAAGGTAATTGAAAACTGAAGATATTCAAATATCTCCTTATTGAAACGGTAAAGGAAAATTATCCACTTTATTTACCCTTTGATTCAACGGGATTGGCTTCTGGAAAGCGACCGCTCGCACCCCGCGACACAGTCTGCGTCTCTCTCGCGAGCGTGCTCTCTGATCATTCTTTGGCCTTGATTAGGCCTCGAAGCCCCGCCTTCCAGCCGCCAATCCCGTTGAATCAAAGATTATAAGAAAAATATTTGCAGTCTTTTATTTTCAGTGCTTAGATTTTGTAAATTTTACATTTCCCGTTTCACTAACCGCATAATAGCAGCTGAAGGGGGTTTAGAACGGTTGCGATGTTGGAGCTTCACTTATCCATACAATTTTTAGGACAAAGAGGCGGCTCGTCCGCTTTCCGCCGTCTTCCGCGTTGAAGGCAACGGGGTTGTTAGCAAGGTGAGCTCAATTTTCCAAATTTTGCTTCATATCAGGTTTGCAAAGTACCGTTTTGCTGATTCTTCAGTCAGTAGAAGCTTGACTCTCCGTTGCAAGTGAAGCTAACAACACTAGCTTTAATCCTGAGTTTAAGCGCCTGCAGAAGAGTTTTTCTAACTACTGCTATGCTAGGCGCGTAGGCATGACTGCCCATTACACTGGATATGAAATCGTGTTTAAGCGAATTACCACTGACTCGATTATGCACAACGATTACGGTGTCGTGCTTATGCAGTTTTGATGTGATGAAAACGCAAATACGAAAGTAAAACTCTTTTCAGCGTATTTTAGAAACTTATCGTACAAGCTTTTACGAAAATTCTGAGCTTGTCAAGAAATCTTAGCCAAAAAAAGTGAAACGAGAAGAAAATGCACAAAACTGAGTCTTATGAGAATTTGCCATTTTGGTATTATAATTCACAAGTTGTATCGACTTTTGGCTTATGACCGCAATGCCTTTGACTAAAGGGCCGGACATACTTCACGCGATTTAGTCGTGACGCGATTTGGCAGTTCGCCAAAAGTCTTCAGATTCAATATTAGCAAACTGCAAATGCATAGTGTGTACATATAACTTACGTGGGTTCATAAAATGCCCTATCTTGAGTCATTTATTATGTGCTTACAGTGAGTTATGAACAGTTGGAATATTACCAAATCGCGTCGCGACTGAAATCGCGTGAAGTATGTCCGGCCCTTAAACTTCAAAATCATTCTTTCAATATAACCTTCCCTAGGAGCTTGGTATACGTCTAGAATGCTTTTAGCGGTAATACATAATGCCCTTCAGGATTACCGTATCCTTACCGTATGACAGAGATGTAAGAAACGATATGTTGTTATTTTGAAGAGCAATTAAAATCAAATAAAATCAAAATCAAATAAGTGATTTCATTTTTGATACGTTTTCACATTCTTTCGAAACTGTCTTCTTTCGCAATTTCCTTAGTAATTTTGGAAAAACCTTTGACGTGGCTACCCAAAAAAGTCATGATACGTAGTCCATAACCATAGTGTGTGTAAAGACTGATGTGTCCAATTTTATCTTCTTATTTTAAACCAGGAAATAATAGTTTCAAATCGAAATAATCCTATGTATTGCAAGGACTTGCCTTCATTACGAAATTGCCTCCTGTAATCTTGGCTAAATATCATATTTCCAGCAAAACCACTATTTTGAAGGTTTCCATAACGTATCGTAAAATCTTGCTGTCCTCATTTTGATCTTCTCTTCGCATTGATTATTTTGATGAGCATCTACGCAGCTGAACTTTTGTTTTTCTTCTTTACGGAGGGTTGCTTTCGTAATTATCAGACTAGCGTCATTTGGATTTAGATAAACTCCTATAGTGATGATTAGGAACAATTTGGAGGGCAAATCCCGTTTTTAGAGCAAATTGTTCACCACAGCATTAGCCGTATCCGAGCGGGATAGTTGATAATATCGGATTTGTTTTGAAAACCAATCTAATTGATATGTTCGGTTTGTTCTAATTGGATTTCCCTCCCGGGACAACATGTGTGTTTTTCGCCGCCATTGTAGTGAATGCCAATGTGGTCCTGGAGATATTTTGCGGAAGGGGACAATATAGCCACGCATTTTGAGGAAATAATTTGTGAAGCCTGTCAAACTTTATGCAATCTTGTAACCGTGAGATTTTTGAGAAGAAAACTCAGAAAATGGCGACAGGCTGCTTTTGGAATTTATTATGACTTTAATATTTGTTGATCTAATGCTACTTCTTTACTTGCGAATTCAAAAAAGATACTGCAGTTTTACATTTCGTCTAGACGACTTGCATCTGGGAATGGGAGGCGGGACCTATATGATGGTCATTGTAAGGTCAAAAAGAATGGGCCTCTGAGGCTAGAGGTGCTAGGCGGTGGTCCGCAAGTTCTTCCAAATTTTTCTTTCACTGGGACCATCTATATATGTCGATCTCAAAATAGCTTTTTGAAGCCGTCGAGAGTTCCACTTTTTGAAGTCGCGGGCGCGGCACGCGCGACCTACTAACCGATCCCAGCTGAAATGATGGAGTGTTTGTGGTTGGCCCGTCACCTGTGCGACGATTCGTTGCTTTCCCGCTCTCGTCACGCCCATCGCCATTTTCGCATCGAGAATCACTGCGAATGAGACCTTTTGGCATTTTTGAAAGCTTGAATCGGAGAAGTGTTGGAGTAGTGTGTGCTTCCACAGAAAATGCATGAATGGTTTGAATGAGTAGTTTGAGCTTGAATGAGTTCCACAAATTATTTTCAATTCAGTTTCGCTAGAGATGTATCGATTGAACCGCGCCAAACGATTTACCTCGGTTTGTAGAATTTTCACCCAAACATCATTTTCGTTCCTTATAAGGGAAGGAATACCAACTTAGATTAGCCTTTTGAGATGAGACACACACTTAGAACGATGATTCCAAATATGCTGTTTCTAGCTGCCGAGCGTCAGTCTAAAGCGAGGTGTAAGCCTGCTTTTGTGAGTAATTAACATACTTTAAATAGGGTAAGCGGCCTGTAGATGGGAATCTGCTCGAAGTGTTGGGATAATGAATTAGATTAGGTCTTTCGATTTTGGAAGGGAGTGTTATGCGCTTCAAAATCACCTCGACGTCGACATCAGCAAGTCAATGATCACGCAAACTTTGCACAGAAAAAAGACCATAAATCGCCTAAAAATGATGCTCAGCAGCTAGGGACAGCTTAATTGGAATCAGCTTTCCAAACTGATTCCAAATATACGTGTCACCTTTTCTTGTAAGCTTGTTAAATTGTTCCATGGCTTTCACCATACATTACCAGTGTTACCCGTGTTACTAGTGTTATTTGTGTTACCGTTGGTACCGGGGTTACCCTTGTTACCCGTGTTACTCGTGTTACCAGTGTTACCAGTGTTACCCGTATTACACGAGTGTTCCTCATACTAGTGTTACTCATGTTACCGGTGTTATTAGTTTTACTGTTAGAACGACTGTATAATCATTCCACCACTCAACAGCAATAGAAGCGGTAAAACTAATAACACTGGTAACACGAGTAATACTAAAGTAGTCACTCTGGTAACACGGGTAACACTGATAATGTATGGTCAAAGCCTATGAGTAAAATCGTGGTGTTGAGTTTGACGACGTGACTGGAAGTCCACCGAGGAATTTTTGTGTAAAGTGGTTGTCACGGATTCCCAGAACACTTTCAATTGGTGAAATGCTCGATGCCTGGAAAAATGGATTTGTAAAAAATTGGTTATGCTAATTTGTGATAGAAAATTCTGACAATTTCTATTGTTAAGGTTCCAACTTCGAAGAGCACAAAGCAAGATATTATGATTGAAACATTGACTGCTGAAAATGCCGCCGCACACGAAGCGCTGGTAGGAATTTTTTTCCTTCTTTTAGATTTTTTCTGTAGATCAAAATATTCATTTATTTTAGCACTGCTTGCATATGTTGCGATCAGATGGTGAACATGGTTTATCCACAGCTGAAGCATCATTACGGAGGCAATATCATGGGTATAATGAATTTGAGGTTTCCGAACAAGAACCAATATGGAAAAAATATACAGAGCAGGTAAAAATTTGGAATTTTTGTAAAAAAATTTTCTGCTCAGTTGTTTTTTCCAGTTTAAAAATCCCTTAATTCTCCTATTACTCGGTAGTGCAGCTGTATCACTATTGATGAGACAATTTGATGATGCAGTCAGCATTACTGTAGCTGTTGTTATTGTAGTTACTGTAGGATTTGTTCAGGTAATTTGATTTTTTGTCCCTGTTGCATTTATCCAAGTAAATCTGTGAAAATTATAGGAATATCGTTCTGAAAAAACATTGGAACAATTAAATAAACTAGTCCCGCCTGCATGTCATGTGTAGGTTCCTCAATTTTTACCTTTACAGAACCCAAAAAAGTGAGATTTTTGAATTTATTTAGGCTCCGAGATGGCAAAGAACATCCTTTGTTAGCCAGAGAATTAGTGCCAGGCGATGTTGTTTTATTAAATACGGGTGATCGTGTACCAGCTGATGTACGACTATTGGAAGCTTTTTCTTTACAAATTGATGAAAGTTCACTTACTGGAGAAACTGAGCCAAAACATAAGGTTAGTTAGGGTTTTTAGTCGTCATTCTCATTTTTTGCTTGTTTTCCTTCTTTTTCTCGAACTATTTCATACTACATTTAGCCCGGTTGATTTGACCGTTGATGCAGTTGCGCGTAAATATAGCAATATGCGCTCTGCTCATCGCAAGCAAGTCGCTGGCATCTCACAAGCGCAGCATATTTCCGCGCAAATGATGTCGTCACCGCAGGGGCACTGTAGTGACCTGAAATCTCTATAATTTGTTAAAGAACGCTCCTTTGGCGTATAAATTTTCAGTTTGTTGAAAAACGTTAAATATGATTGATTTAAGTTCGCTTTTGTTTAATTTTTTAGTAATATATATTCCTTTCCAGGAGACGCAGGCCGTTTCACCGCACCATGGAAGTGGCGTAGAAAATATGATGAATATTGCATTTATGGGCACGTTGATCTGTAATGGGAGGGGGCGGGTTTGTTGCAAATTTTCTTTAAAAATTTTTTTTGATAACGAAGAAATATCTGCAGGGTTTGGTAATCTCAACTGCTGCAAATTCACAATTTGGTGAGGTGTTTCGAATGATGCAGGGTGAAGAGGTTGGTTTATCCACTTCAGTAGTTATTTTTTATGAAAAAATCTCAAATAAAATTCGCATTTTTCTTTTCGCAAAAGGCTACTCTCACATTTGAAATTTTTGTAGTCCATGTTGGTTGAAAAGTGTCATTCGCACTTTTCACAAGCATTATTGGCAATTCGTGTTTTTACGTTCTCTGTTATTGCTAAGTTCCCAGCGAATAAAATTGAATGGCATGTCTTTCGTACAGTCTGCCCGGAAAAATAAACAATAATATGTTCATGCGTTTCATTGGAGAGGATATCGTTTTATGAGGGAATATTTGCGAAAAAATTTTGAGCGTAAAAATTTTTCAGCTCATTTTTTAACTAAAAATAAATGTAGTTGAAGCTGACTAGCAAATTTATTCTGAACAGTCTTGTTAGATGAAAATTTACGATTTCGAAATTTTGTTTTATAAAATGTTTCTGTAAATACCCACCAAAATTTGTAGAAACCCATTTTGTACTAGACCTGTGGAATTATTCAGTGAAAATAGGGGCATTACATCGCTTTGATTTCATTAGAATTTCTTGGAGGGTGAAGGAAATATGCATCGTTTCCGTTGTTCAAGAAAAAAAATTTGTTAGAATTTTGTATTTATGACGGTCTCATAAATCGCTTTTTTTGCAAATTGCAAAATAACACTTTGAGAGAGCTATCTTGCTCCAGTTGAATGAATGATGATCCTGTTTTCTAAGTTTAAATTTAGTCCATTTAGTCACCGAAAACACCTTTGCAAAATAGTATGGATGAACTTGGCAAACAACTATCGTTTTACTCGTTCGCCTTCATCATCGTGATTTTTGTCATAGGATTGTTACAAGGACGAAACGTTTTGGATATGTTTACTATTGGTGTAAGGTGAATAACTCTCCGCATACTGCTATATGTGTGAAATTTATTTTTATTTTTAGCTTAGCTGTAGCTGCTATACCGGAAGGTTTACCCATAGTTGTAGCTGTGACGCTGGCCATCGGTGTTATGCGAATGGCAAGCCGTAGAGCAGTGGTTAAAAAGGTAAATTGGTTTTATTCCTCCATCATTCAGTTTTTATTCTCTTCCATTTTGTTTTTCTTATTTTTTTATTTCTGATACTTGATTTAGATGCCAGCAGTAGAGACATTGGGATGCGTGACTGTGATCTGTTCTGATAAAACGGGTACCTTAACAAAGAATGAGATGACAGCAACATGTGTGGTTACACCAGAAGGGCGACGAGCAGAGGTTCGCAGATAAACCACTTTTTTAATTTTTAATTTACATTCACGCTATTTTGTTTTGGAGGGAGTTTTATGAATGATTTCGATTCATAACAATTCGGAAGAAATAATTTTTGACTTGATTTTAGGTGACTGGTATTGGTTATGTGGTTGAAGGAGGACGATGTACTTATGAAGGCGAGCCAATCATGGGCTACAGCCATCGAGAATTTGCAAGCATCATTGAGGTAGAATTTGCAAACAATGGACTTGCATATTTTACCATTTTTGGTTTTCGTTATAACGAGAAGTTTGGCAGATTTGGGTACTTGGCTTATCAAGAGGCCTTATATGAGACGTTATGCAAGTGACAGCTCGTGAGCTTTCATTAAGACCGAGAAATTTGAATCTGAACTCCAGTCCAGACCGTAATCATTCGATTCGAGTGCGCTAGAAAGTACGGTGTGGGCTAGAGTTTGGAGTTGAGTGTCTCTGTCACGAACGAGTCATAACAGCTGCTGCTTAGTGGCTCGATCTAATCAAATACCTACATTTGCTTAGACGCTGCTTGCTTTCACAGATCTAAATAAACACTTTATTCAGGTAGGAGTGGTGTGTAACAATGCAGCTATCGTAGCCGACTCTGTGATTGGTCAGCCAACGGAGGGTGCTCTAGTAGTATTGGCTCAAAAGGTTGGCATCATTTTACTACTGTAATTTACCTCCCACTCTTTAAACTTCTATAATCTAGACTGGATTGGAAGGATGTCGGCAACATTACAAACGGGTTCGCGAAATTCCCTTCAGTTCAGATACGAAGTATATGTCTGTCCAATGCGAGCAAAATGTATGTTGTTGGGTTTATTCGGATTTAATGGAAACGGAATTCCTTTTGCAGGGACAAACGATATTTTTTGTAAAAGGCGCACTAGATCGGATACTGCAACTTTGCGATTCGTATCTGTCGAGCGATGCGACAAGAAAGGTAAGTTTCTAGCTAAACTGCTTTATGGCGCATATATGGACTTCGAAATTCAAGCAGCAATCTTAAATCATTTATTGATAAAAACCTAAAAGTGGCTTGTATTATTAGATGAAAAAAGGAAAAACACAAAGTAAGGGGTAAAAGTAATTTCATTACCACGCATGTGCTTGCTTTTGGAAGTGATTAACGAATTTACTGTGATGATGATGCATTCTCGAGACGGCGATAGGATAAACAAACACGATAAGCTCTAATCGCGGGCAAATCTGAGCTCAGCCTTGTAAAATTGAAATAAACCCACGGACAAGCTGAGTCAGTTGGAGTTTTTCTAAAGCCCAGCTCAGTAACGCACAAATCCCCGCTTATTGTTTAACCCTCTTCAGAGCGTAAGTGGAGGGTCCTCTGAAAAATTCTTGAGTTTCACTAAAAAACGACAATTTGAGGTTATCAAATTATAATCTCAGTAATTTTTCTAGTTCAAATAGTTTTGGGAAAAACTGTGCCGTTTTGCAGTTTTAGTTTTTACTTAGCCGTTATCCAAATATTCTAGCTGTCATCCTTTCGTTCTCTATGTAGGACGACATGCCTGAAACTTGAGATCTAAAATTGCTAGGGCAGTGTTGTTGCTGAAATCGAGTTATGCAGTTCGTCCATTTCATGTTATGAAAGACAAATATTCACGTTTTAGCCACTGGACGACTACATTCGACAACGAATATCGGATGGGGGACGTGGATTGGGTGCTACTGGATTGAGAGGTAGCTTCGAAACTTCATATTTGTTGAGAAATTTTTATAATCATTTTTGAAATTCTGTGAAAAAGCTCAATGTCGTCTTTGTTCAGTTCTTGCAATGGCTAGAGGAGACAATATGCAATCGCTGATGTTGGTTGGAATGGTGGGAATGCTTGATCCTCCTCGACTCGGTGCTCCTGACGCGATTGCTATGGTCCGAGCTAGTGGAGTCGAGGTGAAACTGATTACCGGAGATGCACAAGAAACAGCTCAAAGTATAGGTAAGGCATCATTTTTAGGAGTAAATTGATGGATTGATTGAGATTTTGATTTAGCCACAATGTTGGGAATGTACCATGCACCCCAAGACAGTTGTCTTTCTGGAGCTCAAATTGATGGAATGTCCGATAACGATCTGGAACTTGTTATACGTCAAGTTTCCGTATTCTATCGAGCATCTCCTAGGCATAAGTTGAAAATTGTAAAGGTTAGTTTGTCAGTCAGTTCTTTGTTTTTGTTTTTCTCATTTTTTTCGTGTTTTAGGCTCTGCAATCCATTGGAGAAGTTGTAGCTATGACTGGCGATGGAGTGAATGATGCTGTAGCTTTGAAAAAAGCTGACATTGGCGTAGCAATGGGACTGGGTGGCACGGATGTTTGCAAAGGTCTGTAGGCTCTTTCAGCTTGTTACAGCGTGGATTGTAAAGTAATCTTCTTCATAAATTCTGTTTTTCTAGAAGCAGCCGATATGATCTTGTGTGATGACGATTTCTCTACGATGACCTCAGCTATAGAAGAGGGAAAAGCAATCTATCATAATATTACAAATTTTGTGCGATTCCAGCTTAGCACGTGAGTGATCATTACCTGGACTTTGCCTTTGTAATTGAACTTACTGAAACATTTGTTTGTTTTAGAAGTGTTGCAGCACTGTCGCTAATCGCTGCCTCAACTATGTTCCATTTCGAAAATCCTCTGAATGCCATGCAGATCTTATGGATCAACATCATCATGGATGGTCCGCCAGCTCAAAGGTGAACACAACTTGAGTAATTTTGGGCATGCCAGTTTGTGTAAAAATTACTGGCACAAAAGCAAGTACAAGCGATCACTTCCCAATCCATCACGTTATTGTTCTTTGTTAGGGATTTCTTTTTTTGGAATTTCACTCTCCTTTGTGATTTGTCCGATATAATCTCTGTCCTCATTAAGAACTTTCGTTTATCCACTCCGGCATGGTCGAAATCCCCTTGGCTTAACTCATAGGTTTAATTGACTGAAGTCGATTGGGCTTTGCGACAGTGGTGACGGAATGACATAGTCGTTTCCATTTTCATTAGCCGTCTTATGAGCAGATTTAAGTTTGGACTGGAGAGGCATATGTGGGTTATAGCATGGTTTTTTGGTAGATAAGATAAGCAGAAGTCGTGCGCTCGAGCTGAAATTTTCCACCTGCATTTTATCCACATTTCCAACTGAAACGTGTAAAACAAACGAGAAACGTTATTAAGACAGAAAAAATGACAAGTAACGATGAGTCCATCAAATCAACTGAAATAAAGAGATCGTATTGGCGTAGCTTTCCCCCTTGTCTCTTTACATAACAGGCTGCAGGAAGTAGGTGTAAACGCGTGGTCCCGACACGAAATCATCATACTTTATATAGAGCGGAAGCACCCCCATCTGACATCGTCAGTCGCGCCAGAGGTGTAAACATGTATGTCGTTTTGTGCCGGTGCAACCGTAGTAGATGACTCACAATGGTAGTGATGCCTGTCTTAGACGATGTTGATCAAGTGGCATAACTCAAAAAGCGCAATCAATAAAGCTAATTTTCGTATAGTTCCGATCGCTTCCACGCTTATCAACACGACTTCCATTGAATTGAAACGGGTTATTTTACAGTTTGAATTAAACCTTTATATTCCTCCAACATCAGTAAAAATGATTGGAAATCTAAATGCAAGATTTTCTGGACAAAAATCTACACATTTCAAACAAATATTTATTTCTGTCCTTTGTTCCACAATCTTGCAAGAAGCACCTTATTAGGATGATCAGTGTTATTCGCAAATAAATTTGTTCCAAAATCTTTGATAAGGTCCCACAGAAAATTTCATCGAATTTTTTTGAAAAGTTTATTTTTTAGCTTTTGGTTTTTAAAGATTTCCATCGAATGATTAGCATTCTTCCAGTCACAACAAGTGGGGCCGAATTTGCAGTTAGAAGATTTATTTTGACTCTCTTTTGACATCGCGCTTCTCTGTTTCTACTATGAAGCGTTTAATTTGGAGTGCAGCATAAGTTTTCAAAAAGTGAGTTCAGTAGAATACTGCAGTCTTTATATTTCTCATCTCGAGTGCTTAAAACGTTTCTTCACCCTAAAACAGTTGCGCCAAATCTCTAATTGTTCTGTCCTTTTGATTTTTCTGCCATATCTCAGCAAGAAGTTGAAACTTACATTTTTCCATGAAGTGCTTAGTAAATGTTTCATCTCAGACAAGCTGCTAAATCTGTTTCTGGAATTTTTCCGCAAACTTTACTTCGGACAATGTCTGTCTATGATTTTTTTTGAATGCGCATTTCTTTTGAAATGCCTACACCACAGGCATTTCTAGACTGTTTCTTCTCAGTTCACATGCAAAGATGTTTGTCAAATTTGATAAATTTGAAGATCTTTGACTTCATCGAGTTGACATCTCAGTACTGTGTAAACCTTTTGAGTAGTTGCCAACAATTGTAAGAAACACTATCTTTCCAAACGAATGCAGCGCGGTCATGCGAATTATTTGAAATGTCCATAAAACCTAGCTGCAAAAACCTTCCTTAGCTGGGGAAATATAGACTCTAAAGAAACACTTTCAAATTTCCGAGTTTTCTTTCAAACATCAAAAATTCGAAAAGTAATGTAGAGGGACGTCAATGTGATCGTGATTGATTTTGTTAGGAACAGATGCCGTATGAATCTGCCGTTAGTATCTCAGCTACGAATAAGAGACAAGATGGCATGCAAGTTGGCTTCACAAAAACCAAAGCTTTGCTAATCTTCAACGCAGCTTTGTAAAAATATTGCACAACTTCAAAATTCTATAAGGAACGAGATCTGCCTAGTGAGCAGCTAAAAGCATAAGCACCTTCAAGTAGGTCCTTTCAAGAATTTGAATCAGTAGCTTTTGCTAACAATACGGCAATCTGAAAATTGAGTGATTTTGGAGCACCTATGGATGAATTGCAGAGATGCTGGACGGTTTGGAAAGATCTTATAAAACGCGAACGAGAGTTTTGACAGTAAAATATCTTAAAGTGGAAGAGGAATTGTGAAGCTTTCAAGAAAGGATACTTTGTGGGAAAGAGAAAGTGGTTGATTTTAAAAACTCTAGATTTGTTAGTTCGAATGTTGGCCAAATGTTTTCAAGAACATCAATACGAATTTTCTTGCTAATTTGATTTCGAGATAAGAGTAGTCTGATTAAGAGCTTTTGGGGGACTGGAGGTTCTAAAGCAGTCTATAGGGTCACTCAGTGTGGGAAACAGGGCCCCGGATGGGAAGAGTGCACATGGCTGGGAATACTTTGTCGGGTTTGGGATGGGCGTTTCAATCACAAAAATTTTTTTACGTTACGTTTTCTTTACGTGTGAAAGTTTGAGAGCATACGAGAGTCTTCGCAGGCTACGAGTCTTCAAAAGTTTTGACTTTTAGTCACATTCCCGCTTCACACACACAGCCAGACCAAAGCGCCGCGAAGCGGCGCTTTGGTCTAATACAGGGTGTCCCAAAATAATGTGCACACTGTTTGATTTTGAATAACTCTCTTATTATGAGGTCTTTCGAGAAGCGGTAAGAGCTATTCTGTAGAGCTGGCTTCAACTTAGATTTGCACTATAGAGCGAATGACCGACCGCTCTTCATTACTGTAGGATTACGGTAGAAACTTGAAAGAGGGTTTTGGGTTTGGGCCATGAAAGGCCATATTTTGCCTCAGAAAGGAATCAAAAAACAGCCTGAAAACTTTTACACTGGGTCCATCAGAGTTGCTGATTCTAACTGTAAAGTTCCCAACTTATTATGATGCTTCACTGAAGAGTTATGCGAGGTAAGCAGTAACGGCCATTTTCTCAATGTTCCTGAAAAGTGCGGTTACACCGTTTAGAAAGCTTCGCAATCTTGAGAATAGTTGAGTATTGAACTCAGCGTCCCTAAAAACTCTATTACACAAGTTTTCACATCTTTTTGAAAATTTTTGAAACGGCAGCTTTTTCTCCAGTGACACCATATGTTCCAAGTTTCTACCGTAATCCAACAGTAACGAAGGACGGTCGGTGATTCGCTCTATACTGCAAATCTAAGTTGAAGCCAGCTCTACAAAATGGCGCTTATCGCTTCTTGAAAGACCTCATAATAAGAGAGTTATTCAAAATCAAACAGTGTGCACATTATTTTGGGACACCCTGTATATTAGGTCGTTCCGAAAGTAATGTCGGTTTTTTCGAATGAACGCCACTTTTCGTGGAATCAACATTCCTAAGAGATCTTAGGAGCATTTGATGCAGAATTTCATTTTCCTTCTAAAGGCTCTAATTCCACTGCATAATGTTTAATGAGCTCTCGAAAAATTACCAAAATCTGCGACTCATGCTTTTTGCCATGGTCAAGTTCGGCTATTTTTCTAAATTTTTGTACCTAATCTCCGAAAAAGTACAAGTGGTAGGTAGATAGAGCCAACATTATAGAATACAGAGTAATTTTTTCTTTCCCTTAGCTTGCTTCTCAGAGTTTCTACAACCAATTCCTCAATGCCAACAGATTTTATATTTAGTCAAGTCAAACCTCACAGAACAACAATCGGCAAGCAACTCGGGTGTCATTCAATGCAGCTTTTTCTCTTTCCAGCGGTTGTTTTTTGTTTCCGATTCATCAAGTTTTCCGGGATGAAATCATCATAATTCAACTTTTCCAAGGCACCCCAAGGTGTACCCGAAATTTTCAAAAGTTGCTAAATCGAAGCGGTGAATGCTCGTTTGGTTTGTAAAATTGTTGCCAAACCATAATCCATTTTTGTAAGTTTCAAAATCCGAAGACTTGTTGGCGTTTGATGCACTTGTGTCTGAGACGAGCCTGCTAAATTCGGTGGTTCCATCAAAAAATCTGTACAAAAATTATGACGAGCTCTGAAAAGTGAAAAAAGGTTGTGCTGTATTCTGTAGGGTTTGCTCCATCCATCCATTACTTGGACTCCTTCTGAGGTTTGTTGTAAAATTTTAGAAAAATTGTGAAACCTGGCCATCTCAAAAAGCATAGGTTGCAGATTTTGACTCTTTTCTGCAAGCTCATTGATTGTATTACAACAACTTCGTAACCATTAGAAAGAGAATGAAATGCTGCATCAATTGCTACCGGAATCTCTTACATATCTTTGTTCCACGAGATGTGGCATACGTTTGAAAAAAGCGACATTACTTTCGGAACGACCTAATATAAAGAAACGTAAGCGCAATTCAAAAATCTGCAAATAGCGGGTTTTCGCGGTGCGGTCCTAAAGCGCGCAGATGCAGTGTGGCACCTTTGATTACTTGTTCACTAGTATACATCAAGCAATCGTGACACAGATAAAGAAAAAACCAACGATAAGATACACGAATGATATCGCAGAAGAGGCCTGCCCTAGAGTGAATCTTCTTTTCTGGCCATGGTTTTCTTCTAGAAAAATCAGAGTTTTAGCAGTCTTTGAGACTGTTCCCAGGGTTTTTGAAGCATAAAATTACTGAGTTGTGGTCTTTCATTCTGGTAACTTACAGTCTCGGTGTGGAGCCTGTCGATGATGACATCATCCGACAGCCACCTCGTAACGTTCGTCAACCAATGTTGAACTTGCGGTTAATGATAGATATCCTGTCGTCGGCGGCCATCATTGTGCTTGGCACACTTTATATTTTCTATAGAGAGGTATGAATTTTCTGTGTTGCTAGAACTTTATGAATCAGCGAAAATGTTTAGATGTCCATTGACAATCAAATTACTCCACGTGACACTACCATGACTTTTACATGCTTTGTATTGTTTGATATGTGGAATGCATTGAGTTGTAGGAGCTCAAGAAAAATGATTTGGCAAATAGGTTTGTTTAGGTGAGCCTGATTTTTATTCTCCAGACATCATTCAGCTTTTGCTTGCTATTTTATTTCCTACGTCTTCCTTCTTTCTTTTAGGAATCGAATGTTTTGCATAGCTGTAAGTGCATCACTGGTTTGTCAACTACTCGTGATATATTGGTCTCCGCTTCAGCATGTCTTCCAGACTGAAGCGCTTTCACTGTTGGGTAAGTTTAAGCGTCTTCAAAGTTTTTGAAATTTTCCAGGAAAATTCCTCTAATTTCTTCTTTAGATATACTTTTTCTAAGCGCCATGACCTCATCGGTATTCGTATTTAATGAGACGAAGAAATATTTTCATCTTCGAAAACCGCCCATGAAATCGAAACTAGAAGAATCCTTGTGATTTTCATTTTTCTCTTTTATTCTATGATCACATGCCAAATGCAATCAGAAGCCTTTCAAATTTTGTATTTATTCCCCAGATTTTTCTCTCATTTTACTCTGATTTCATTTCCAGGACTGATTTTTATTGTTAAAATTGCCGTCAAGTGATTCTTTACATTTATTGCAATTGCAAGATAGATTTCACCTTTAGTCACAAGCCTCAGAGTTCTCATATCATTCGAATGCCATGGCGTTTTACTAGAATATTTATTGTTACTCATATAATTTATTGGCGTTTTATCGGAAGATTTATATGGATTTTCACGCAATTCCCGACTCTCTTGACCAGTTTGTTAATTATGTCTCAACGCAGGATGTTAAGGTATTACATAACAAGTGCTGGGTAGAAAATTCCAGTGTTAAAATTATACGGTAACTCTAAGTTTTCTTGTATGAGTGTACATAAAGTTGGAGTGAAACAGTTTGTGTTATCTTTTGTAGTCTACACAACCCATGCTCATCACAAGTTTTTACCGCGCCTGACGTTTTGGCAGTAATGTTCTACTCTCAGCCGTGGAGGAAAGTCTTATTCATTCATATTCCGAACCCCCTGAAATCTCCTCAATAGCTTTGTTTTGATCTTCTGAAATGACAGAATGCTCCAGGCATCGGTCAAAATGCAACGTTCTAATATCTGCTCCATGACGAAGGCGATCGCCCAAATAGATTGAAAACATGCAAGGCTGACGCGCACGCAGCGCGCGGGCAATTGTCAACCATGGGGCTCGCGAGATGATCGCTGAGCGACCGCACGCACCCCCAGAGTTCCTTGCGTGCTTTCGACCTATTTTGGCGACCCCTTCGTCATGGAGCAGACATTACAATGGAGTTTTTATACTACTTTTGGAAAAACCAAAGATGAAATTTATCGCTACGAATGGAGCACTGAAATTGCCAAGAACTTTGACGGAACAATTGAAGGTGGGTGCATCTTGCATGAGCATCACACAAGGAATTGTAAACTGTGCGGAAGGGCGGAAGAGACGCACTGATTCTGATTCTGATAGCATGTAACAACAATAAGCAGTAGGCCTTACGAAAAGAAAGTCCACTTATGCGTGAGAAGCAGTAAAGTTGAAAAGCACTGGCAATTTCTTGACAAGCACTATCTGAGCCATAGGTGCGATAAGAGCTGGGCTCTCCTCAGGTGAAGGCGGTCTCGGCTGTTTCCGACCTTCTAGGGTGAAGGGGGTATGTGAGCCTAGGGGGGGGGGGAAGAGAGAAAAGGTAAAAAGGCACCTTATAAATTTTTTTAGAATTAAGAAAAATAATAATAAAAAATTGACTTCATGAAGTGCACTACAGAAAAGAATGGGCTGCAACTTATTGTTAGAAAAATCTAAAAAAAATAAATGAATTCTAGGGATGAATCAAAGCTGAATTTGGGATGATCCAATGCTGGATTTGAGTTAAAGTTCAATAGAAGTGGACACGAGAATTAGTAGAGAAAAAAGATAGAAATTTTCCGCCAGAGAAATCAACTTCCTGACCTTTTACTTTCTCTTGGCTTGCTTTGCAGCATACCTTCGATAGTCTAGAGACAGGGCGCCAAAAGTGAAGGTTGTTTGAACATCTGACGTCATATATAGTGCAGGTTGTTTGAAGAAGATCAGAGAAAAGAAAATGACGTAAAATAGATATAAAAAGCAAAAGAAACCGTTGTAAACCAGATAAAAACGCTGCAATAAGGTTTGAAATCTTCCATTTGGGGGCTTTTTAGAGTGCAAGTTTTCGCTCTAGGAGCAGCAATTCGCAACACGGGGTTTTGATTCTTGATGCGTTTTCCTGGGACATTGTCTGGATTGTTGCGCTTATTGTTCTCAGCAACAATCGCCCAAGCTGGAAAAAAATCGATGCGAAAGCACTGAAACAAAACAAGGTAAAGAAAAACGCACTTTTTACGATTTTTCGCAAAAAATTCCATTATAATCGGAGAGGTAAGGGCTGGGTGGTTGTCTGCATTATGAACAGAAGCAAGATCTATAGAATGCACGAAAAAACCGCGTGAAAGGAGTCAAACTAGGAGAAGAACAAGATTTTCGAAAGCAAGGTTTTTACCGGATTTCTCGATCAAATCAAAAAATGTGGTTCTGGGACGTCATCAGCGTGGAAATAGAGATCAAGAGCTTCAAAATGATATATTAGGTCGTTCCGAAAGTTCTTTCCGTTTTTTCATCATATCATAAAAACACGTGGAACGAAGAAAGGGAAACGCTTTAGGCACTGTCCGACGCAGCTTTTCTTCCTCTTTTCAACTATCATATTTCTGTGCCGCTCGCTCTTGTGGTCAGTGAGATAATGGCCGAAGTCTCGGACCTATGGTTTTTATTATGTCCAAGTTTGGCAATTTTTCACTATCTTCTTTTAGGACTTTTGGAAAAGCTTTGACAGCAGTCGGATAGAGTAAACAAAGTGCAATGCAATGCAATTTTTTGGCAATTTCAGCTGGCTTCTCATTATTTTTTGAGATAACTTTTTCAGAAGTCTTCACTTTTTCAGAGTCACAAAACACACAAACGCTCTGAACGTCAAGAAATCTTCGGTTTTCGAAAATTTCAAAAGTCGTTTATGATTGTACACTATCTTTACAAAGTAACTGAGCGTTTACCGCTGCGAAATATAAGATTTCGCATTTCACGGGCACATCATGAGGCGGGTTCAAAATCAAATTTATGGAATTTATCGCCAAAGACCCCCACAAACTAAAAAGAAAAAGCACTCATCAGAAAGACGAGAAAAAGCTGCATCGAATGACACCTTAGTTGTGCGCCGTTTTATGTTCTATGGCTTCTGGCATCCCCAAAAATGGAATTTGATAGCATCAGATAAATAATTCTAAAAATGTTTTGAGGCTAGCTATAGATGCCGAAAAATTGCATATAATTGCACTTTGTTTACTCTATCCGACTGCTATCAAAGCTTTTCCAAAAGTCAAAAAAGAAGATAGTGAAAAATTGCCAAAGTTGGACATGGTAAAAACCATGGGTTTGAAATTTCGGCCATTATCTCACGGACCACAAGAGCGAGCGGCACAGGGATATAACAGTTGAAAAGAGGAAGAAAAGTTGCGTCGGACAGTGGCTGAAGCGTTTCCCTTTCTTGGTTCCACGTGTTTTTATGACATGTTAAAAAAACGGAAAGAACTTTCGGAACGACCTAATATATCTTGCTAAATTTGGGTTCGAAACAGCGAAGAAAAGGGTACCAAAGCCAAATGCCCCGCGCCCCGCGTTTGGGGTAGCGAGGTAGCGAGCAGCGCGCGGAGACGCAGACGAGCAGCGGAGACAGATCAGGCCGACAGGGCATATGGCTCTAATCTAGATCTCCGCGGGGTCTCAACGAAACCCTGCAACATTTTATATCATCCTGATCGTCATGACACGACGAGGAGAACTGACAACGTTCCAAGCTTTGAAAATCACTCATTAACGACCAGCGAGATAGACCAGCGCTTTCGTGCGCGATTCTCTGCGCAAGAATTAAGCGCAGTTTCTCGTTTTCATTTAATCCAATAGCTTGCTTGAACTTCTGAAACTCTATTTTGGTCAAATGAGAGGTTAACCGAGAAATTTTGCCCTGATGACGAAAATTCCACAGAAACATTCTTTTAACGTAAAAAAGGCTATGAAAACGCAAATTCGGTCTCGCTGGAATAAGCTAAGGATATTATTCCCTATATTTGCTTCATTAACATACGTTCCGATATAATCAGGATAACAACATCCAGGGCGAAGCCCCGGATGACTTCTGTTTTTTTTCAGGTGAAGGTTGTGTCCCCTCATAGTCCTCAAAGTGGAGGTTACCAGAGTACGTGGCTCTATGTATTGAGGGTATGCTTTGCAGACACTTCTTCCTTATATTCTACTAGGTTGTCCCAAAAACATTTGATACAGATTTTTATCCTCTTCCTTACAGCTATATTTGCTCTCTGATCTACCCCGTCCTTGCAAGTTATCGCAATGTTAAAAATCGAGGCATCTGAAGAAATAATTTTTGAAGCTAAAAACAGCAGATAGGAGATTTTAAGAATATCATCCTTGTAATTGAGATTTGCTCTATTTGATCCATACTTAACCCTTTCCGAAACTTTGGAATGGAATTTTCAAAATCAGCCTAACTTTGAGCAGATAAAATTGACGGGTGGGATATTTTGGTAATTATCAAAAAAAGCATGCAAAATTATGGATTAAAAATGTCTCTTGAGAAAGAGAAGGAAAGGTGCATCGCATGCATGATTGAACTCATGTAGGTCTTTGCTATGCGTGGTTTTATAGTGGTTTGAAAAGACGGACAAAACTTTCGGGACAACCTAATATATTTGATTCGCCGTTGAAATGCGTTTATCATTCCCATTTTGATCTCTTCATCTATGGAGGATGAGGAAAATGGCTAAATTCGCTCGGTAGCGCTAGCTCTTGCGCTACTGCAATTAGAAGCGACGCCCTCAGAATGTACCATAGGCAAATGCGGCGCAGCTTTGCTCCATAACGCGACGCCTCCCGCCGAACGCACTCTACTTCCTAGTCGAAAAAGCCCTTTTCAGCCCTTATTTGGCATAGTACATCACGTACCGGCTGTTGCTTGATGCTTTAGGTAAAGCGTTCACCTAAGTAACATCTAAATTTTACTTCAACAGATGAACCTGTCTGTTACCCTATCATACAGATGCTGAGCATGAAAAAAATTCAGTGGTCACATTTTCAAACTGCTGTCGTTCTAGATTATCTAGACTGCTCAGAGCATACCCTCGATACATAGAGCCACGTACTCTGGTAACCTTCACTTTGAGGGCTATGAGGGGTCACAACCTTCACCTGGAAAAAAACAGAAGTCATCCGGGGCTTCGCCCTGGATGTTGTTATTCTGACTATATCGGAACGTATGTTAATGAAGCAAATATAGGGATAATATCCTTAGCTTATTCCAGCGAGACCGACATTGCGTTTTCATAGCCTTTTTTACGTTAAAAAGAAGGTTTATGTGGAATTTTCGTCAGAATTCAGCAAAATTTCTCGGTTAACCTCTCATTTGACCAAAATAGAGTTTCAGAAGTTTAAGAAAGCTATTGGAGTAAATGAAAACGAGAAACTGCGCTTAATTCTTGCGCAGAGAACCGCACACGAATGCGCTGGTCTATCTCGTTAATGAGTGATTTTCAAAGCTTGGAACGTTGTCAGTTCTCCTCGTCGTGTCATGACGATCAGGATAATATAAAATGTTGCAGGGTTTCGTTGAGACCCCGCGGAGATCTAGATTAGAGCCATATGCCCCGTCGGCCTGATCTGTCTCCGCTGCTCGTCTGCGTCTCCGCGCGCTGCTCGCTACCTCGCTACCCCAAACGCGGGGCGCGGGGCATTTGGCTTTGGTACCCTTTTCTTCGCTGTTTCGAACCCAAATTTAGCAAGGTATGTATCATTTTGAAGCTCTTGATCTCTATTTCCACGCTGACGACGTCCCAGAACCACATTTTTTGATTTGAT